AACATGGGACAGAGATGTAAGCAAGTTTGGGCCCTTGACGTGCGCTTGGCACTGTGGCTGCTTAGGTCACTGGAAGCATGTGGTGTTCGAATGTCCGAGCAGACCCGCGCCTCTCTGCAGTGAGCCGCCCTGCCCGTGGGCTGGCAGATGCGGATGGGTGCTTAGGCCTGCGAACTTGACCTCGCTGCGCGGCGTGCACCGCGCACAGGAGCGCGCACTTCAGGCTATCTGGAGTGAGCGCTGGGGCCGGAGTTCCTGAGCGATCTCTCCTCCTCTGCGCTCCCTGCGAGCGCTGGCACCCTCTGTCTAAGGACTAGGCGCTCGGCGCCTCAGCTAAGGATCATGGCTTCTGGCATGTTCCTCGTTTCTGCGGGTTTCCTCGGTGTCTTCGTGCTGCTGCGCTGACGCTGAGCTCTTTTCCTGGAGTGGTGTGCTTCGCACGCTGCTCCTTCCCTGGGTGACGTCGAATGGCGGCGCTTGCCCTTCAAAGACATGATGATGATGATGACCCTACGGGTCATAACGGCCGTATTTCTCCGTGACACAATTGATGCCGCTCGGAACGGTGACGATGCTCAGCTGAAGTGGAAGCTGGCTTCTGGCGAGCGGTCAGTCAGCCCACGAATGTCCACCACGCCTCCGACACAGGAAGACACTCCCTACCAGTCCGTTCACCCTTGAGCGAAACCATCACGGTACGTACTTCTAAGTTCGACTCACTGTCCCTTGAAGATCAGGCCAACACACTACACACAGCGGCCATGAAGGCTGCTCCTCGCACCAAACAGGACCAACAATATAAGAAGGAATATCTCTCCGAACCCACGAAGCGTTTTAGTAACCGTATCGCCTCGACTTCACCTGAAGACCATAATCTCCTCAAGACATTGCGTAAGGCAGTTAAAAACGAGCCCGTAAAGACAAAAAACAGCACCTTTGTAATCAGCTATAACCGAGGCCCACCATCTAGAGAAAGGATCGATTACGTTCCCATAAACTCAGGGTATTCGCAAACCTAACGGACAGATGTCCACCAAAGCAGCTAAACCAGAGGTCTTGGCCGATCATCTCGAGACCAAGGTCTGGAATCAACGCGAACTACCTCCCTTCCCGGCGACACACATTTTTCCCACTGCACATGTAGACAGTAGTCCATTTACCGAGCAAGAACTCATGACGGCCCTGTCTCGCCTGAAGAACCGCAAGGCCCCGGGCCCTGATCAGCTCCCGGCCGAGATATAGAAGTATGCTCCCAGAGAAGTTCACGAAGCACTGCCGGCACACTTCTCGGAGGCCGCTGCTCCGAGCTCCTGGAAGATAGCCGATATCGTCATGATATTTAAAGGCAAAAAAAGGACCCTACCCTTACCTATGAGCTACCGGCCAATTTCCCTTACCGATTGAAGCATGACATTGATGACCGCATTTCATCCGTACAGTTTGGTTTCAGATCCGGTAAGTCCACCTCGACTCCTCTATTTGTGTTGCGCAGACTCTTAGAGTTGCACGAACGTCACCAAGAATCTCTTTATGCCTTGTTTCTGGATTGGTCTCAGGAGTTGATTCGGTCCCCCATGACGCCTTGCTCAATGCCATTGTCAGAATCGGAGTCCCTCGCAAATTTGCGGACGCTGTCTTATCCATAGAACACGACTGTCGCTTTACAGTCAAAGATTCAGGCTATTATTCCAACTCCAAGAAATTCGCTCAGGGCATCCGTCAAGGCTGCCCACTTTCGCCATACCTGTTTATCATCAGCCTCTCTGTCCTTTTCCATGACACATATGAAGCCTACATTCTTGCTCATGGCCCCCGACCTTCAGTATTGACATCGGACTTCAAACTCACAGACATTGAGTATGCGGGTGACACCGTGTTGCTTTCGCGTACGCAGTTGTCCTTTCACCGACTTCTCCACACGTTGCAATCTCACGCCCTGGGCCGGGGTATGGCCCTAAACCATGAAAAGTGCCAGCTCCTTGCCATCAATTCCGAAGCTCCCATATATCTCATCCCAACACCCTTGTCAATGCGACTTCTTCCAAGCTAGACCTGATCCCTATCTTCCGAAAGAGCCTAAATCGCCCGTCCGAGCGAGAGGTGGCTGAAGTGCATTCCAGTTTTTTTGGTAATACAGATCTTTGGAGGACCCTACAACCCATAGCACAGGATAGGAAAGTTTGTGCCAGTTTAGAGGTTGTACGTTGAGCTGCTGACGAGTGGTCTCACTTGTGGACTAGCTCTGCGCCACTGAGAGAGAGAGAGAGAGAGAGAGAGAGAGACTGCGCCAACTCCCTTCTGACGACCCTCGTGTGCAAATGCCGGATGACTTGGCGGAAACACCGGGCCATTTCTGTCTAGCAGTTGCAGGCCGGCGCTTGTGTCCTTGGCTGAAATGCGAGATTATCCTTACCGATTCACAGCTTTGCTCGGTCCGGATGCTTGCGGCCCCATGAGCCAGATGAAATCCGATTGGGAGGCCTGGGCTTGCATTCAAAGCGGCAGAGCTACATCTTGGAAGCGCATGAAGGAGGGAGCTGGGCCAATCTCAAGAAGGTTCAGCAGGTTAGGTCACAGATGAGATCCTGGACATGGTGAAGAAAAAATTTTCTGGCATCATGCAGACCAAGCTCGGTGAGGATGGCGTGAGGGCTGGACGAGTGGCTGAGGTCAACAAGGGCTTCGACAAACGGGTGAAGCCAGAGAGGTTGAACGACCAGTTGGTGAAGGCTGATGTCGCTTGCGAGCGCAGCTGGCATTTGCTAGTGCCGTGATAGTGGCGTATCACACGAGGTAAGTCCGGTCTACCAGCGACGGGCCGTAAGGATGGTGCGTCCGCGAAACAAGTTGGCCGTCAGTCCTAGCACTGCCTGACCCCGTCGGTAACAGGACAGTAGCAAGCACAACTGGGAGGGCCGTGCCGTGGCCGCAGCCCGACACCCATAGCAGGCAAGCACGTCCGCTTAGCGACTGTACCCAGATGTGACGTGGAGCCGTGCCAAAGTGGACAACATGGCGGGACTGAAAACGTTGGCCTGCGCTTCTGAACCTCAGCCCACTTGTCTCGAAAGCAAGTCTGGCCCGGCGGCCTCTGAAAAGGCCTCCCCCTGAAGATCCCTCAAGAGAGGATAGCCATCCCAGGCCCTCAAGAGCACCCCATAGCAACTGAAGTCCCAGGGGTGCACATCGGGGCCAGCATTGGGACGATGCTGTCGTGTTGCAGGCCGTAAAGTTGCGTACATCTTCGCTTGTGTCTGACTTGCTAGTGCTAGTACTACTACTACTACTACTACCACTACCTACTACTACTACTACTACTACTACCACTGCTACTACTCCCGCTATTGCCTGCAACGGCTACGGCTATGGCTACGGTTACGGCTAGTGCTGCTGCCACTGCCGCGGCTGCCACTGTGCTACCACTGCTTCTGCAAGTGCCAGTGTGATCATCGAGTCTCTAAGTATTACGTGAGCCCACGTCAGGTTGTTGCACAGCACTTTCCTTCCTTTTCATCAGGGTTGCTGCGAGTTACAGTGCGACCGACAACTTCCCAAAATTAAGGATCACGTTTGCGGGGAACTGGCCCACGAATGCACGGCCGATCATGGACAAAGTGAACCGGCTTTTTGTGCTGTTTTTTGCCGTGTACATCACAATCATTGTGTTTGCTGCCCTGCGGGTCATAACGGCCGTATTTCTCCGTGACACACTTGATGCCGCTCGGAACGATGACGATGCTCAGCTGAAGTGGAAGCTGGTTTCTGGCGAGACATGTTTCGTTCATTGCAAAGCGAACCACTTCGATCCTGTGCCTCTGCATTGCCGTTGTCTTTCTATTTCCCCCGCTCGATGCGCCTAGGAAGCCTTGATCACGGAGCGGTTGCGAAGCAAGTCGAAATATTTGGAGAAATTGGAAGATGCTTCTTGGACGCCCAATCCAGTCCGAGAAGACTTGTTCTGACTATCCGTTCCAGCATGAGGCGGGTGAGTGGCTATATGGTTTGTATATGCAACATGACCTGTTGCAAGTCATAGATGCATGTAGCCACCGAGGTTGAGCAAACACATGGCATGTAAGTAAGGGTTATCGCGCAGTCGTGCGACGGGCAACCGAAGATGATTGCTTGGACATGCTTGGAGACTTACTCTACATGAGGTTTTCGAAGCTATTGATTCAGCTCACAATGGCACAATCAGTGAGAAGCAGCTCGCAGAGATTTTGGCGATACCTAAAGCAGTGCCTCGGCTTGGGTTTGATGTTGCAGACCGTGTGCGAGCCTTCCTGCGCAAGCTCTGGGTCACTGAGCCAGAAAGCGAGGAGGCGCCTGCGAGAACTCTGTGTTGCATGACATTCATTACATGTCCAGATATTCAACCGAGGCCGCATACTTCCAGACTTTGGATGTGGATGTTCCGATGCTGCATTTGCTTCACATGCGGTGTTCATGCATGTTATGCTTCGAAAGCCAGCCGATTGCAGACTTCAGATGCTGCGCAGATGCCACAGTTCAAGTTTGATGAGTCTGATGAGGTTCTGGAAGGTGCTGCGCTGTTTCGTGCTTCGGTTCAAGAACCTCCCGAGCTTTGGGGCTGTGGTGGTGACCTAGAAGTCTTAGGCCTTAGGCCTTGGTGAAGTGAGATGGCAGCCCACATTCCTGTTTTGGTGCTGCTTTGCGGTCTTTTGTTCTGGTGGCAGCTACGTAGACTTGGTTTCCTCTTGTGTCCCATGATCTAGGAATCCTGGACAACGGCGATGGGATAATTACCCATGCAGAGTTTGTGGACGGCATCTTACGCTGCAAAGGCAGGACGATGAGCAACCGGGGTTTGGAAAGATGCAGTGGATTTATCGACAGGCAGCTGAACAGATAGGTATAGGTGTTGAAATAGATGTAAGTCGCGCGATAGATGGACAAACAGATAGACACATACAGGTAGATGGATGAATGGCCAGATAGCTAGATAGATGATCAGGTTAGACTAGAGTATTTTGGGCTACAGTAGCGTGAGTAGACCAGATTCGATTAGAATAGGTCGGCCCAGATTTGACAAAATAGATGCATAGATAGGTATAGCTAGGTAGAGCGATCCCATCGGAGACAGCTGTCTGAGAGTTGGCATGTGCGAAAGCACGGGGGTACACCATTCCCAGAATGTGGTGCACGCGCACTGGGACAAACGACGCCTGCAGAGCGCGAGATACCATGCAACCCTTCGTCGCAAATACCGGCTGGTGCCAATGAACAATTTCGAAGTCAAGTCAATTGCATCATTCCTCCCACAGCACTGACACTTCTTCAAAGTCCAACGTGCGCAGAACTCCAGTTCTGCTTCCACGGCCTTTCTCAAAGCTTCGTTGGCCAACAAGTGTAGAAAGATGGACCGTGCTCGGGTGGCTGAAGACTTAGGCCGTGCCCGCAGTGTCGTCTTGACAAAGCATAGGTTTCGCAGGGCCAATTTCCCTGAAAATTGGAGCTCGTCACCGTCGGAATCAGCATGCACCAGCTCCGGCGAGGCCCTGCTCGCGCCATGGAGCAGGTGGCCATGCGGAGCGAGCTCAGGCAAATGGATGCTGCTTGGCAGAGAGAGCGAAATTCTCGTTGCAGAGCCTAGATCCATGGAAGAACTTGGCAATTTGTGACCCTCATGGCCCCATGAAAGGCGAAAGTCACCAAGCTGATCCGAGCACTGGAACGATCCTCCATCATCTCGATCGACCCAGTCATTGCAGATTGACTTTCAGGCGATCCACGAGCCGTGCATATTTCGCGGTCGTCGGCTAGCATGATCGGCTTTAGGTCCGATCATTTTTCAGTGGGCACAGGTCCATGTGTTACTTGTATCGGCAGAGCCCAAAGAAGCTTTTGCCAAGACATTCGCACATATCCGAGTGGCATCGCTTTGCAGATATCCTACGGCATGCGTCGAAGGCGCAGCTGCCGAGAGGTGTTTTGTGCGATATCCTGCAAAATGACGAAGTCACATGCATTTCACATCATTGTCCCTTTGCTTTTGCCCATTAAGGCTTTCTTACCTTGATCGTGCGCTGCACCAAGGATGGACCCGCCATAGAGAGCCTGGATGCACTGCTTGCCTGCTGCGAGCGGAAGCCAGCCGATCCTTGCAGGGCCATGTTTGCGTAGATTTTTTACGGAGCATCACGATTCAGCCTGAGATGTCTTGAGACGGCGTAGCATGCGTGCTAAGGAGGCGACGGCGGTTTGTGAGCCGGCCATCTCCTGGGAGGCACCGCAAACGTAGTCGCGGTTTCTCATTCCAGCAGTCGCATTATGGAATCAACCACATGTGCCCGCAAGGCACACTCCCAATGCCCCGGCGAGAGAAAGGGGGGAGAGAGCGAAAGAGATGAGGCTGCCCCGAGCAAAGAAAAGATGAGGGTTTGCATGTTTCCGGGGGATGACAGTCGGCCGGAATCACATGTAGATTAGAATAGTACCACTCCTGACCTTTGGCCGATAAATCATCCTAGACTTTCACTCCCGCCTAAACGGTCCGCAAGAAGCGGCCGGGCTAAATGCCCGGGGGCCTGACGAGCCGCCCCTGTAACCTGAGAAAGTGTGTGTGTGTGTGCGTGTTCGCAAAGGTTGCGAAGGAAAGGAAGGAAGGAGGAAGGTGCGAAAGAAGGGAGTAAGTCCCCCGACAAGGGCCCAAGGTGGTCACAGACAAAGGCCAGCAGGCGGGGGATGCAGCCGTCGGACAGCTGAAGTGTCGCTGCATCATTATCATACTCCAGGTTACATTTAAATTCGGGAAAGAGGCCGTAGACGACTTGCTTCTTCGCGGCATGATCGACTCGAGTCAGTCATGCCAGAGAGAGAGAGAGAGAGAGAGAGGCCGTAGGTGCATTGGCATGGATGAGCACCCAAGAACCACTGGCCTAGCTGTAAATGCTGGCGGCGCCTTGTGGCACTTGTGGCCAGAGATGGTGGAAGCTGAACTTAAAACCGTGTCACGCTTTTGCGTCACCTCGCAAATTCCGCCAGGAGTTCTGCGCTGCTGAAGGCCTCGGCGGCCTCAGCGCGGCGCGTGCCAGGCGCAAGGCCTGCCAGAAACCTCCCAAACCAGCTTTCAGAGCGGTATTCTGTTCAATCCTTCTGTCCGTTAAGGGCTCTGCAATGTGCGCATAGGCAGAGCTCCAGACAGAAGCAATGAAAAAGCAGACAGACTTTCTAGCGAGGCCATCTCTTCCATCAACCGCGGCCTTGCGCAAGAGCTGCTGGACAGAGTGCGGTTTTTGTCGGCTGTGCGTTGGTGGCTGCTTAATGCCTCATCCGCCTAGTTTGATCCAAGGACAGAGGAGGCTGACAAAGCAGAGCTGCAACAAAGGTTCCCGGATTGGCAGACGTAGGTTCACAGGAAGGTTTCGAGCCTGAAACCATTCGGAGGCGTTACAGTAGTTGCCCAATTGCCCGTGCTCAACGCACTGCAGTTTTGTCTGCCGTAAGCCAGGCTATCAAAACAATCCAGCCCTCCTCCGCATCAGTCCTTTTGAACAGCGCACCAGAGCTCGAAGCCCAGTGCTTCGGAAGTCCCTTTCTGGATCTTTGCGGATTCCAACTCTGGCGCACTCGGCGTGGATATTGCAAGCATCATTGTCGTGTAAATGCCGCACGACGCAGGCTGGCGGCAGAGCAAGAGGCACGCACCCGCGAGCGGAGGGAGCTGGAGAACAGCACCTGGGTCTGCAGCAATTTCACAGATAAACACAGACCTCGGTCTAAGGGGTAGAATGCACGGTAGGCAGAGAACAATTCCACGCTCTCTCGTCCGTCGTCCGTAAGGTTTTGAATTCAATATGCTGGGCTTCGTTTTGATTCGCCAAGCTCAACGAGTGTGAAGGGCTACTGGTGTAGTTGATCCGTAAGCCGGAAAGCCCACCGAGCGGTCGTCCGAGTGGTGCCCAGATGCTGTGCTTGGGTCAAGGCCTTGAGAGCCTCGAAGCGCAGCTTGCCACAGCGCAGCGCCGTGCGGAGGAAGCCGAGGCTTGCGGTAGCTTGCGGGTTCTGGATCGCGACAACAAAACACAGCGCGAGTGGTCGCGAGCAGTGCGTGATAACCATGGTTGGATTTCGGGGGAGTTTGGGAGTCTTCGTGAAAGGCGGCGGCACGTGCGGCGGCCACTGCAGTCACAGTGGCTCAGGACAAGGAGGATGGCCGCCAGAAGGCTCCCCAATCGGTCCATGGTTCGAGAGCCGCCTCCGTCCATGCCGCAGGCCTTGCCACAAAACTCCACTTGCCAGCCTGCGCGGCCGGCGAACGGCCAACAGTGGCAAGACACGTGGCCTTATGTGGCTGGCAGGTTGAAACTGTTTGAAAATCAACGTGATTTGCGGCAGCCAGACCGTAAAGAGAAGCCACCTGTCCCGAACTTCGGGAACATGGTGGGGAAGTGCGAATTCGTGAACCAGCTAAGATTCTTGATGATTCTTGCATGGCCGCATGTGAGGACCCATCGGCTTCATCTGAGGCACCTTGGACTCTCTTGGGAGCGAGTTGGTTTAGAGTCCGGGAAGGACGCGCGAAGCGAGGGCTCGAAGCGGAGTTGTTGAGACTACGGCCTGGAGGCGGTCTTTGTGGCCTCTCTTCGTCGGCAGCGCCTCGTTGGGGAGGAGACAAGTGATTTGCTCTGAGAGGTGTGGAAGCGACAGTTGTGGTGTTCTCAGCTCCAGGGCTTGGACTTGCCTCGGTTGTAGTGCCAGCAGATGCTAGCACCTGCAGCATGCGGCGCTACCTGGAAGGATGGAAGTCGACTCGCAGAGGACCGGCCAGAGCGTGAAGATTGCAACTACTTCTGAGGCTGTCGTGCTGTTGAAGGCAATGTTCCTGATAGAATTGCCTGATTTTTCAGAACACACTTAGTTTGGGAAGGACCTGCCGGAGCATGCCCCTAAGCTGCGCTTGGACTGTGGGCCTCGAATCTCGGAGCCATCGGTAGTGTTGGATGTCCGATGATTCGCATCGGGTGTCTCTAGGGTCTCGCAGGTCCGAGAAGGTGTACAGCGACTATCGGACAGCCTTTGTGCTGCTGTGGAGCGGCTGGCAAATGATCTCTACGAGAGCGAGTGCCACTTTCTGTATGAGATTGTACAGCTCCCTGCCTTGCAAGAAATGCTTGAGAGGTCATGCAGTGTTTACAATGTCGTTTGCTGTTGGCCTCTGAGGAATGCAGAAGATGCGCACGCGAGGGCACGACCACAGGACCAGATTGTGAGGTGCGTTTGGGATCGATGGGAGGCAAGCGACCTATCGCGACTTCCCAGGACTCCACAGAGCCCTGCCTGAGCCTCCGTCTCGGGGCTCCCTGCCCATCCTTCCCGCACGGTTACTTCATCAGCGAGCCTCGGCTCTAAGACTCTGAGGTTGTCCTCACCCCCCTATTTACCCACGACCCTACACTCTCTGCAACACCATGTTGTTCAAGGCAAGGGGGAGGCCACTACACGTACATACATATATGTACATACTTATCTATATGTATATAGATATACACACAATAGGCACATGTATGTATGTATGTATGTATGTATGTATGTATGTATGTATGTATATATGTATGGATGTATGTGTGTATGTATGTATGTATGTATGTATGTATGTATGTACATGTACATATATATATATATACATGAAGATACTTACATACTTACGACACACACACACACGTATATACATACATATATATATATGTAGTCATATGTCTGAGCAATGGGGAAGATTACTACAAAGGCAAAGTTGCAAAGGCCTGCTGTCTTGAGCGACAGCAAAGCTCCCTATGGCAAGAAGCAGAAGACTAATGCGGCATTCAAGAATGATCTTGGTTTGGCATGCAGTGGTATCTCCAAGACACCTCGCAGAAGTGGCAACACTTTAAGAGGCCTCGACCAGATGACATATCAGGAAGTGTATGCAATGAAGCAGAAGAAAGCTATTGCTTGGGGTGCATCAAAAAAATAATGCCACGAATGGGGAATTTGGGAAGAACTCGTTCTATGGGTCTGCAGAAGAACGTGCAGGCCATGGCTTCAGCTGAACTGCATAGGCAGTGTGGCTTTGATCGAGTTCTAGCAGCTCTCAAGGAATATAATATAGGGTGGACTGTTCGAATGGTGCAGTCCAGATGGCCCGAAGGATGCCTTCTTGCATGACAAATGCAAGTGGATCCTGGTCTGAGTTCTCAGCGGGAAAAGAAAGCCGGGCAACAAGCTTGCAAATGGGTGCGGGCAAATAGGGGGGGCATCTGAGGAGAACAACGAGGCGGGTTTCACTGAGCGTGGCTCGCCTGCATGAAGCTTTGGCTGCTAAGCGAGCCCACGTCTTTGCTCCAACGTTCAAGGAGATGTCACGGCTCTCTGCGACATCTCTGCATCGTCGAAGAAGAAGCCCTTGCCGGGAGCCGCCAGTGGATCTATCGGTTGCAGCTTGACAGAACTACTTGGTCGGAGCATCGGGAGCCTGGCAAGCCAAGGCAAAGGCATCGGCTTCAAGTCGGTCTTTACTGTTAGTGACCGCGCCCACGTTTTGTCCAAGGGTGCCCAAGCCGCAGAGAAGAAGGTTGGAACACACTTGCCGGAAGCGCCTAAGCACATGAAGAATATTGAAGAATCGTCTTTCCAGCAACGCTCGCCAATGTGGACATATTGCCTGCTGAGGCTTCACCTTCGTCTTTGACGTGCAGGGGCGCCTGGGAAAGCTAGGTCGCGGGCTGAGCAAGGTGTGGGATATTTGAGGCTGCGGATGACGGGTATGAAAGGGATGTCTGCCTATCCTGGATTTTCCAGCAACTCCAGTGCCGATGGGCCGAGGCTATGTGACGCCGACCTGGCTACCTGGATGGAATTTAGCAGAGCACCAGCCCTGGGTTGCCGGAGGTCATGTGAAGCTCATGTCAGTACGTGGGAACTTGTCCCCAGACCAGTCTGCTCGACCCCGGCAAGGCTTACGAGCTCAGAGCTTGCGACTTTGCCAGCGGAAGTGCAACGTGGACATGCTCAAGGGAAAACAGTGCCTCGTAAGGATCTCGTAAGGCCTTACATGCTCGGATCGTGATTTTGCACCGCCAGAGCAGTCCACCAAATTCATGCGGCTGCGTGCTGTTCCGATTGAGGGATACGTTAAACAAAATGTGTCGCAAGGCCTTCCCAGCAGTGGCTGGGTTTATGCTTCGCCTATTTTCCCGTTCCGGCTTAGTCTCAGTCTCAGCCTCCTTCACCACAAGGTGCTGTTCCTTCCTCTTCGAAGCGCTGGGCTCGCGTCGGCCATCAGCCAGGCTTTGTGGGGACATTTGGGCCGCTAGAGCTGCCCCATGCACTTCTGCACCCATCTCGTGCTGTGGATTCAGTGTGGATAGCTCTCCCAAAGATCCTCTGCAGTCCGAAAATCTGCTTGGGCCTGCGATTCAGGAGATGGACGAGCTGGCGTCACAGGGCCGGGCTTCGCTGCTTTTTCTTCGGCGGCTGCGGTGCATTGACGCCTGACAAGCTTTGAGACGGTACTGCTCGGAAGGTTGGGAATCGGGAACATAAATGCCCGGTCTATGAGTGCTTGAGGAACTTCTTGGCCAAGCGGCTTCCACCCCCAGGCAAGGGAGACCTTCGGGGACTTCCAGACTCGCTACATGACTTCGGTTGAACGTCTGGACGAAGCTTCTCCCGAGTTCTTCACTACTTTTGTGAGGCTCCTCCGCAGTGGCGACCGATCAGCCAGCGAGATGCCCCCCGCATTCGAAGTTCGCCGAGCCCATGTGCTGGCGCTGTATGTCGCGATCAGGACCCCCGAGCCGATGGAAGTCAGATCCTGCTCCGCCGGGGCACTGAGTCTGCGATGCGTCTCCGCAGCAGCGGCTGCCGTGTTCTAATCTAAGGTCGTCATTGAGCAGCACGAGCCGGCGCAAGAACACCAAGAACACAGATATCTAGTATACCGCCACCTCGCCCCTGTCGCATCTGGATGCTTAGACTCCAAGTTGACAGAAGTCAGCTGCATCCGCATCCTGCGATGCGGCATGCGCTTTCGCAAGTACGTTCGGGCTGAGATCTGAGGATCTTTGCAAAGCATGAATGCAGAGCTTGTGCTAGCATTTCCGGTGGAGCGCTGAGTTTGGAGATTCACGTATCGCCGCGAAAGAACTTAAGAAGACATTTGGAAGATCAGCTACAGATTCAGGTGCTGGACGAGGCAGAGACATGCAGTCGATGCGAGCCCCTGTTCTGTTCCTTACCCATCCGTGGCTCAGCTGACAGGACATGTAAGAACCTTTTCGGAGATTCGTCGTTGAAGCTCCCTGTTACGATTTCTGCTTAGGTCAGTTCTGTTCGATGCTGATATGTCGTGTATACTAGTTAGTGTCCGAGACTTTTCAAAGCAACCGCGACATCCCTGAATTCTTCATGTTGCCAACCAGTAGCCCAGCAGGTCTTCTTTGGACCTTTTGGGGCTGGAAGTGCGCCCACGCTTGCTGACTGATCTGTTTGCCGAAGGAATGGTCGGATTCGGGTTTGCTCTCCATTGCGACTGCTTCGACTTGGTGGCAAATCGCAGTGCCGTGGTTCAATTTGAGGCACTGTAGCTGCTCGGATGCCAGCAAGCGCAGTTTGGTGGTACACCCTGGAGTCTTCTGGGGGCAGTGAGGTGACTTGCACCGGGGCTCTCTGCCGAACCAAGTCGTTCGTGACGCCCTTCCCCAGGTCTCTCATGCGGTGCAGGTGGATCGAAGCATTGTGCACCTGCGAAGCAGTGACAGGCCTTTGCCAGAGCCTGCCAAGCTTCCCCTGAAATCTCGCGCCGAGCATTGACGCTACTGGGCCTCTCTGCGGCATGTGGCTTTCAAAAAATCACCCTGAAGCAAATACTTGGAGCTGTTGATGGCTAGCAGCTAGCAGAGACTGCAAGCATGAAGGTGAACCTGTGGCAGATCCTTTTTGGAGAGTTTCCAGAGAGGGCATCCTGGCTCCTTGGTTGAGTTTTGTATTGCCTGCGTGCACGAGAGACGATGAGACGGGAGTCAATGAAGTGCTTTGTATGAAGTTGCATTGATTGGCATGGGTGGCCTGGGTCTTCCAGATGTCTAGGGCGGAAGACGTATTAGTGCACGGAAGTCGAGGAGCAGCTCTCGGACGTCTCATGCTCCGGGCTAAGCTTTCCACGTAATATCAGGGGGAGCGGTCAAACGAGCTGCTAGACCCCCAATGATTCTCGGTGCTTGAAGTTGACCGAGGCGTGCAGACCTCGACAGGAGATTTCCGCCGACCCTGTGAGGCCTGGCCGAGGTTGTCTCGAGCAAGCGCATGGTTAGGCCTCCACTGGTGAGACTGCTGAAGCCTCGCAGCATCGTCATTCAAAAGCCTGGCCTAGCTGAATCCGACACAAAGAGAGTCCCCAGTCTGAGCCTCGATCCTGGAAGAAGCCAACTTGTAGGGAGTTTCAATCCAGCAAAAGGTTCTTCTGCGCGGCCTCGGTGCTTTACGCCGTGCCTCCGACCTCTTCCCAGCCGCACTAATGCCCCTTTTGCCTGAATGGGCACACTTTGGCAATGGAATTACTTTCTGTCGATTCTTTCGTCGCAAAACGGACTAAGAAGCCTCAGCTGCAAGAAGTCCCTGTGCGAGTCGAGCGACTCCAGCGAGGCCTTGGGCTTAACAGATTGAGGGTATGGGCGTCTGGATGTTAGAGGCAGGACTCTCAAGCATATGCTTTAGCACCTTCAACCTGGACGCTCGCCATGCCTCGGCTGTTAAGTTCTAGCACTCCAAAACTCGGACTCTCGCCAGCTTGAACCAAGTAAATAGTTGCAGGGACGGCGACGGCATGTTTTTTCGCATTGAACATTCTCGGCCTTTGTGCCAGGCCTCGTGAGACCTGCAGAACAACACCGTAGCTTGAACAGCTTAACGGGTCAGCATCGCATGGTTCATGGACGTTCGTAGTGCCTTAGAGACAACAGCAACACCGGCCTCCAAATTGCGCAGCAGTCATGGTGCGCTCTGGGAATGAGTGCGCTTTAGGTTTAGGTGTGTCCACAGAACCTGCTTCCTTGCAGTTGTGCGAACCCAGGCACAACTATTGAAATGTGTCTCTTGATTTGACTTGAGCAAGTGGGGAAAGACACTGACACCAATACCTGCATGAAGCGCAATAGCAGGATTCAACTGCGTATGCACGGCTTGATTGTGACGAATTTCTCAGTGCCAGGTCCATAAAATTTCATGAGCACAGGAAGCATTGGCATACAAATGTCAAGGCCGCCCGGAATCAGCAGCGAACACCCAGGAGAAAGGAAGCATCCGGGGAGATGGGACTTCGCGAACCAGAGCTTGAATGATGGTGCTCTTCCAGTGCTGCTTGCTTATGAACCACTTGTGAAACTCAACATCCGACCTAATTCTTCAGCAGCGCGAATAGAGTGAACGTCTGTGCGTAGTACGGTTTCAAACCATGTATGAACGAAAGAGCGGCGCAGAAGCGATTTGGACTCGGTGCTTGAGTCGTATATACATACATGCATGCGTACATACATGAAATATAGATACGTGCATACTATGCACCTACCTACATTGCATGCATCGCACACATGTGTTGACATATGAACAAGCATAGGTACATACATAGGTACATGCATAGACACATCCATCCATCCATCCATCCATGTATGCATGCGTGCATGCATACGTACATACATACATAACCATGCATGCACGCATGCATACATACATATTCGCACAGAGCACCCTCTCCAACTATGCGATGTGCATGTAATATCCTGTCCGGTTGTTAGCATGTGGTCAGTTTTGTTATTTGTAGGTGTAGCGGTGTAGTACTGGTAAGGCGGAGTCACAGTGTGGCGAGTAGGCTGGTGATGTTGTGCTGCGCAGCTAATCAGAGGAACGATGATATGGCGCACCCACATCTGCTATGTGCTTTGCATCGTCAGCCGCAGGTTCGGTTCTGTGGGTGCTGGTTGCATAGCTGCCACAGGAGCGCCTCCTTCGAAGGCTTGGGGCCGAGGCCACAGTTTCGCCTGCCTTTTCTTGCAGAGGGTACACACTTCGACAGAGGCTCAGCTTGGCTGTGAGAGGATTTCGGGGCACGCCACATTGCAGCCTGCCTCGCGTACAAGGGCGGCCAGTGGCCCGAAGGCCAGCTGCACTGGAATCAATTGTGGACTATCGCTTGAAGTTATTCCGAGGCTTTCGTTATGGAACGCTGTCTGGTAAAGCCTTTGAAAGGAAGCCCATTCTTTCCGGCGTTCGTCACAAAACCGGACTTCATGAAGGAAGGGCACGGGCATATCGCAGAGCCTTTGCAACTTTACATCATCGCAAGTCACAAGCCGTCCTCTCAAGCAGTTTGTGGCCAGTGCAGCAGTTGCGACATCCCTTAAGCAAGATGTAAAAGGCGACAAGAGATGCTGCATGGAATCTCCATCCGGTGCTTTCCGGTTTCCAGGCTTTGTGGCCCATGCCTGGGCAGACTCCAGCGGAACTGGACGGCGTATCATCGCCGAGCTGCAGCTCGAAAGAAGAGGGTTCTGTGACGTACCCGAGCCCTTCTAATTTAGGCAGATCAAGTGTGAGGTACATCCATGCTTAGATGAAACTAATCGATGTTGCTCTTGTGGTTTAGGGTTTCCCTGGATTTTAATTTTTGAGGTGGAGAGTAAGATCTGTACACGCAAGATATGTGGAAGTTGGCATTGCGGACTCACCACCTCCGAGATTGCATCACATCAATCTGGCAGAGCATGAGTGCTGCCTATTATCAAGTGTTACTGCAATCCTTGCAAACTCCCTCTTGCTTTTGGCAAATGGAGTTGGAGCGCATGTTGCCTGCCAGCCAATCACGACATGGAAACAGTTGTGCGCGATCATCTTTGACATGTACAACGGCTGGAACTTTCCATAAAGTTGGTTTACCAAAATAGCAAGCTAAAGGCATCTTTATGAGCTGACCTTTTAAACGAGGTACAACGTCCTTGGTGCTGTGGTTCGCCCAGCTGATGGCAGTGATGCCGGTGCCGAGGTGTTAGTAGTGAAGGTATCTACCTTGGTTTTCCCAGCCGTTTGCGGGCAGGCCGTGGCACTCATGCTGGAACTGCCCTCCTTGCCGCTCTTCCCACTCCTGAAAGAGACGGCAGCCGAGCCGGGAAGGCTTGGCCGGCGCAAGGCTGACAAAGTCACGCCGCATTCACCAACTTCATCCGTCGCGGTCAAGCGGCAAAGCCTAGCGGCAGTGCCTGTGGCACCCCTACCCCACCATTGCAACCTTGTTTCCGACAGGCCAGATGTGCATACACCAGCTCGCCTATGTGTCTTGTTCGCAAGTATTTGGGACTTATCGCAAGAGCGTGCTCATTGCAGGGAGCCGAGGCGACGGAGCTGTCTTCCTGGGTCTTTGCGGAGAGCTCTCCGAGGCTTAGCTGCCCTGCTAAGAAGCCTCTGGCTGAGCCTCCGTGACTGCTTGTTCTGAGGGTGGATTGCGTCACTCCACTACATGCCTTCCACAATAAAGCGAAAGCCTCAAAGTGTGTAACGAATGTTTCATGTTGAGCCAAGGAGCGCTGGCAAAAAGTGTTGGCGACAGCGAATGGCGCGCTGCGATTGCTGCACCTCGGCATGCTTCGTGTGGGCACAAAACAAGCGCTGACGAGGGTGTCTAGAGACGGGGAATTGAAGGGGGCGGTCGTGAGCATTTCTCAAAGTGCCCACGTTGTCCAGGCCACTGGAAATTTCGTCTGCCTTGGACGGCCTGGGCTCACAACTGAAGCTTATCTGCAAATAAGCCCCGCATTGTCGAGACGACCCTCGCTGCCCTGTGGTGTGAGTGACTTCAGTGCCACCACAGACCTAGACAAAAGTAGCGAGGAGAGGAAAGGCCGGAAGCATGCTGGCACCATTGAGCACACCATTTCCACAATTCAGTGCTTCTCTCAGGCTCTCATCCCTGGGCGTGGAGCCGCCAGGAGCAGGCCGGCTGGCAGAGGCGGCCCTGGAGGCCACGCTCTGGCCACACTCGTCCATCCGACCAAAAGATGTGGTGTGGACGCTGACGCGGTGAGGTTTTAATGAAAGCGGTCCCGGGCGAAGCTCGGCATGAACCTGTCCACGGACGCCTTGCTTCGATGGCCGATTTGGGACCGATACTTCATGGGCTGTTCTCTGTTCTTTCTCGCAGGGACTGGAAGTGTGTTTTGGTCGGTTACGGAGCAAAGAGGCGCTGCGGGATGCCCTTCGCTCCCAGGGCCCGGCAGTGTGACAGGCAACCGAGCGAATTTCCTCGGCAGGCCACACACGGCAGACAGATATACAGGCATGCAGGCATGCAGACATGCAGACCTTCGGCCCTCGCTACCCCGATTGCTATCTGGCTCCTTATCGCTCCGTGTAGTTTACACTGTGAGACGTGGTAGTGTCGTGCCACATTGTCGCAAGGTGTGACGAGGGGACATGTTCGCACGTCTTCACGCATGCCGCTCAATCACTCGGGCTTTCTCGTATCCTGTTACGAAAAGATGCGTCTCGGTTGTTTTTTTCTAGTCGCGCCTCCTTGCACTGTCTGTGTGCGTGTGTGCGCGTGTGTGCGCGCTCGCCGCGCTTGCACCAGGTGTGTCCGATGTTGCTCGGGCCCGCGCTCCGAGTTACGAGCCGAAGCAACGGCGACCTTGCGCCGTGCATTTGCTGCGTTCCGAGCGCGCAAGTTACAAAGAGCGATCCGAACAATAACAAGACACGCTTACTGTGCATCCTTGAGCTGTTGCTAAAAGCCGAAGCCAAGGCACGGCCTTCTCCACCAGCCATCTATGCGTCGTGGGCTGACGTGGCCTCAGCTGCGAAGACTTCGAGCATCTTCGGAGCCTCCTTTGCGGCTTTGCCTTTGTCCATGTGTCGCTTTCCAAGGCTTTGGCGGTGTTGCGAGACCTCTGGGCCAAAGGAGACGATAAAGGCGGCCTGTCACCTGCAGCGCCTATCGTTTGATGCCAGAAACTTTCCGCGAGGCACCGCAGCTGTCACCAACGCCCTGACCAGTCTTCGGGTTTGCGAGAGCAAGGAAGCTGCGGAAGCTCTGCTTACAACGAAAGCTCCGCGCCGAGCTTGAGGGCTTCAGATGCTTCAGAACGCAGATGAATCCATGAGGAGTCTGCAAAACAAAAAAAAGAAAGGCGCTGGGCAGCCTGCTTGTGGCGCCGGCTCTCTGCGGCGCACTGCGCCCTCCACCTTCCCTTCGCTGCATGCCTGGGCGCAAGATCTCTCTGGAAAGGGTGATGAAAGGTGTTTCAGTCCCCATAGCCTTTGTATCTCGGTCATCTTACCTCATCAGCACAGCCCCACATAGGATTGTCAATGGTAGTAAACGTCGGAGTTTGCCGAGACAGGATCGGACAGGTTGAAAGGTGGGAACGGCTTGAGCGTCTAAGGCTTAAGGTCTAGTTCGGAAGCAAACTCCTTGGATTCTGGAAGCGGATCCTTTTGCCTTTGGCATGTCTCGCCTGTGCAGGTCGGTTCTGGGTGTCTATCGGCAGCTGCCGAGCGTGGCTCGTCAGACTGGTCACACTTCCGTCTCATACGTGAGCGCTCACGTGCAAGCATGTGCAAGCCCTGCGGCTGGCCAGGACCTGATTGAGCGGATCGAGGCCTTCCTGGGGGCAGATTGTGGCGAGGAAGGTTCGCTGCTGGCCTGCCCGTGGCTTCGACGCAAAGTCAGGTTGCAGGCTTGGCATGTGCATGGGTGCTTCCGTGTCTGTGCGACGGGTCCAGAGGTCTTCCCGGTCACTCCAGCCGTGGCCTTTAGAAGAAGGCCAGGATGAGGCCCAGCGATGGCTGGAGGCACAGTCAGCATTACCCCATACTCTTGACTTGCTCCTTACATCGGCGCAGCACAGGCATTGAAGTGGGAGGCTTTCTTCGTGGACTGCCTAGGCTCCAGTGTGGATTGTGTTTAGGCTGTCGCGACGCAGTTAACAGAGACCTGAGGTGCGCAGCCTCGGAGACCTGCGGACCCTGCACAGGAAGTCTTGCGGGGAAGCTCTTCTTTGGCTTTTCGGATGCTTTGGTTCTGCGGTGCCAGCGAAAGGAGCGAGCTGCTCCATTTCTGTCCCTGGAGATGGGCATCAAGATCGGCCTCTTGTTGGAAACCATGTCCAAGAAGTGAGTCTGTGTTCGCCTGGATTCGGGTCGGGGACTTCATGGCGTGGGCTAGTCCAAGCTCGCGGGCAGGTGGAGATGATGTCCACAGTCTTTGGGGTTGTTTGCTGGACGAAAAGGCGGGAAGGATTCTTGCTGCCAAACTAAAGTTTGACAGTTTAGCAAGACCCAACAGCAGCGGAATCTTTTGGCTGAGCCAGGCAACGTCGGAACCAGTGTTTCGCTGCCAGGTTGCAAATTCGCGAGCAGCTCTTGTTGGTCTTGCCCGCTCAGTGTATGATTTGCTTTCATGGTTCAGATTTCGGACAGAAGGCGTACCGCTTTAAGCAGCACCTGCGCCAAAAAATCAGCTGACCGAGGTTATGCTTGCCGGCGCCTGACTGACGCTACTGACCGGGCATGGTTTTCTGAGCTTCCTGCACGTGCCACTCGCCGGGTTCGCGAGCTCTTCCTGTCCCTTGCAGCACTTAGGGCTGGGCTTTGTGGTGTCGATTTCGAGTCACCGAACTTGCCATGCCATGCCTCGTTGTGTTGCCATGTACTGCACAAGAGCTGCAAGGCACTCGGATCCTCGGCCGAAGGTGCAGAGCATGTATGAGCATGTCTGGGACGTTGCTTGCTTATGACCCGGCATGCGCTTGCTTCTGCAAACTTCAGCAGACTCAGGAATACTGGCCAGTGGCCGGCGCAGCGCTGAGCCTTGGCTCGACAAAGCATTGCCGGAGTTTGCGGGCTTGACCTCGCCGTCTCACTTCCCTCTGATCGATTAGATTGCTGGCTGAGCTTGGATGGGCTTGGGCACAGTCCTCCCAGCGAAAGGTGGGGCATCTGCTGGCGCATATACACCTAAGGAACGGCGTCTACCTCCGTCTGGCTCTACCGACGGGCCGAGGGTCTGAGCTGCGGCGTTGCCTTGCCGGGCTCGGGGCACGAGTCGCCCAGCCTGAATTCCAGTGACCGAAGGTCAGCTTGGGATTTTTGCGATGTGATTTGTGGTGAGCCAATGCCGAGGCTCAGCTGGATGTCCCAGGCATGGTTTCCGGCAAGTGGCAAGCGAGACTCACATCGAACCATGTCCTGTGACGTCCTCCATTATGCGTGCAGAATAGCTGGTTCGGAATCGCCAAATGTCGCTAGGCCTGACAGCAGCTTTGGAGGCGCTTCTCCGAGGACGCCGGCCGTCTGGTGCAGAGATAGCACAAGCGAGGAAGTGAGAAGGTCGTCATGCCGTGGGTCGTCGCCCGCGCCATGGCTTTTTGGACGGTTTGGCCAATCCCACGCACCAGAAGAAAGAGCACCTTCTTGCCTGCCTGTCCTGTCTGTCCTGTCCCTCTGGCTGTCCTGTCTGCCCTGTCGCCTGTCCTCTCTATCTGTCCTGTCTGCCTGTCTGCTCGTCTGTCCTGTCAGTCCTGTCTCCTGCCTGCTTGCTGCCTGTCTGCCTGTCCTGCCTGTCTCATGTCTGTCTGCCTGCTTGCTTGCCTGCTTGACTGCCTACCTGCCTGTCCTGTCTGTCCTGTCTGTCCTGCCCGTCCTGTCCGTCCTGTCCGTCCTGTCCTGTCCGTCTGTCCTGTCTGTGTGTCCTGTCTGCCTGTTTGTCCTGTCTGCCCTGCCTGTCCTGCCTGTCTGCCTTCCTGGATGTCTGTCGTCCCGTCCCTGTCCGTCCCTGTCCTGCCCATCTGTCCTGTCGGTCCTGTCTGTGCTGTCGGTCCTGTCTGTCTGTCTTTCTGTCTGTCGGTCTGTCGAGCTGTTTGCCTGGGCGTGTGTGCATCTCCGTTTTAGTTGCGGATGTGCTGAAATGACGGCCGCGGCTTGTCGGGAGTGAAAAATCTTCGGGGACTTGTAGTCTGAGTCATAATATTGTGCCGATCTCGTTTTTCTGGCACTTGACCGCACAAAGTTGTCCGGATGGTCTACTGCTAAGAAAGGCCCTGCAAGAGCCGATGTCATCTGCCCCAGCGTCAGTGGACACCTGATGCCTGTAGCCCAGAAAGGGCGGAACGGCGGTACGAGATCCCGTCGGCACTGCTTTCGAGTCCCAGCCTGCCTGCAGCTTGTTGCAGGACAGTGCCGGCTAGCTGAGACATTTGCCCGTGTTTACACTGTGGTGGATACCTTGGAGACTACGTCCGGTACAGGCTGGGACATCACTTGAGTGAGGAGTTTGGCTTTTTTGGGCCACGCCACAGGAAAGTCTCATAGCGAGCAGACTGAGCAATTGCTCCGCGCATGCATCTTCCACCCAGCACCTTTGCTGCAAGAAGCTGCGCCGCAATAAATGTCCAGGCCTGCAGCAGTTAAATGCTTGGCCGGCTTACAAGCATTCGGAGCCTCTCGACTCCAGGAAGAGGAGCGTGCAGTGAAGGCCGAGAGGCGGGCGGGCACCTCGTTGTTCTGATGGGAGCACAGGGCAAGAGGAGACTCTGTGAGGTGTGTATGGGAGCTGCCTCAGAATGCCCTGGTGGCTCAGCGCTTCGGCCGCGACTTCGCTCCGGCTGCCGCTGGTTTCTGTCGTCTCTCACTGAGGTGCTGTGATCTTCTGGTCCTGGGCGAAGTGTACAAGGGTCACGGGGAGGTGCCTCGGCGACCACCCTGTCTGAGCCGGCCCTTGCTTCTGGCAGGTGCAGCTGAAGCGCTACTTTGCGGCACGGGGAGTTCCGACAGCTCCAGATTCTGCAGAGGCTTTGCCACCCACCCATAGTGCATCGGTGGCGGTTATTTGTGAGTGTTTCCTGCAGTGGTCAGGCGTACGTGAAAATTCGGCAGAACCTCCTGCTTGCAGCTGAGGATCTTGCTCCAAGCAACCAGAGCCTGAAGAGGAAACGCCGTTCCAATCTCACTCTTCACACTGCAGGAGCTCGGCAAAGCTTGGCGCAGCGCGGAGGGCGAGCCGGAACTTGTCCAGGCCAAGCCCGACTTGTGGAGAGTATGCTGCTGAGCTCTGTGAAGATAGGGTTGGGTGCGCTCTGGCCGTCCCAGGTGCCTCTGCCGGGATCCACCAAATCGGGCATCTCGAAGATGCGCGCCTTGTCGAATTCGCGCGTGTTTCGCATGACGGAATGCTTTGACATGATGTACTCTTGCCGGGGTATACACAGCATGAAGACACATGGTCTTTTGCAGTCTCGACGACTTTTTTGCCCACCCCTGGAGTTGACGCACAAAGCATAGATTGGACTCTAGCCCTACCGAAGTCATGCGCCAATCCGTCCAAAAGGTGCCGGCGATTTCTTGGCGCAGATCTGGGAAGCATTGCTGTTTGTGTATCGAGGCCACAAGGGCGGTTCCATCTAGGCAACACTGTGATCAACCTGAAAGTACCTAGGCAGCCCATCGTAGCCACCACTTGGTCCTAATTGGGACTCGCGATTGCTACAAGTACGTGAAGCCGTTTCCAAAGTAGCCGACCCTGTAATAGCCAGAGTGTCGCATCTACCACATGTGCGTGTTGTTTTGCGGTATTTTCTCGATACTTCCAAGCTGTCAGAGGCATGTCAGTCCTGGGTGAAGCAGAACGGCATGCGCTGCAGCCTTTCTCAGAAGTTGAAGTGGCAGCAGCCACTGGGAAAACTATAGCAATTGCAAGCCCGATGCGAGCTATTGGCCATCGTCCATGGTACATAGCTGCACAAAATCTCCTTCGAAATTGGCGGCTAGCAAAGGTGATGCCATTGCCATGCCCAGAGGGCGGGCCCCCACAAACCTCTTCGATGTTGGAGGTGCGTTGACCGACTGGTCACTTTTGACATCTTTTGACACAAAAGCATGTGGTGATACCTGTGCTGCATAGGTAGCACGATACCATGATGGGGCACTGTTCCGAAAGCTCTCTGTTTGCAGCCTGGCTGCAGGCTTCAAGATGCCTAAAGCTTTGCCGAAGTTTTCAGCTGACGCATGGGGAACGTGCAACCCAGAAAGTCCAAACACTCACAACCCGAGCTCAGGTGAGTGCTTCTGGGAGGTAGCACCTGACTTGGCAGACTCGCCTGCTGCTGCATGGGCCTTAAGCGGCGTGCCTTGGAAACGCAACGAGCATTCACCCACATTCGCTCGCAGATTCAATGTGGACTCCCCATGCGCAGCTCCCAAAGCTCGCGGATGTGTTCTGAAGACTTTGGGTCAATCGTACGACGAGAGCTCCGTTTGTTCCTTTCCCTCGCTTGGAACCTGCAGGTGTATCCTCCGGAGTTGAAGAACCTCTTCGTGGAGTCTTTGGGCGTACGTGAGGTGGGGAGATGCGGGAAAGATGCAGACAACAATTTGCTGGGCCTAGGCCAATGCCACTGCCCTGAGGTTGTGGATGGCGCAGCTTTGAGAGAAGGCATCATGCGACGCATCAACTATGGCAAGCGGAGCACTACACTCAGGCGAGCCTGCGTCTCGTGGAGGTTTGCACGGGGAGACTTGCAGAGCTCAGCGCATGCATCCCCTTCACCTGCACTGGGAATCCCTCAGGCCCATGAGATAGCGCTGGGATCCTACATACGTCATGGTAATTGCGTACTCGTAGTTGCAGTGCCATTCTCCCGTTTAAAGAGTCTCTCATTCAGCACGGCGGTGAGTCGAAGTTTCTCATGTGTCGGCAGGTAGTTAACCACAAGTGATCGGCCTCCGCCCCATCTTAAAAGTCAGCCCACCATCGTGCCGCATAAGGGAGCATAGCGTCCAACTGCAAGGAATCAACATGGTCTCGTCGTGTCGCAGCAGAAGCATTGAACAAATACAGTTTTTTTACAGTGCAGATGTCACAGAACACCGGAGAGGAGCTTTCACAGGATTCCATAGGGCAGTACTCTGGGCAGCACCATCGGGTCCACCACCAAGGCTGACAACGGCTATCTTCTCCGAAGCTTTGTATAGAATGTCTTCGATGCATCGCTCAAGCCTACGCCGATTGCTTTGCCATCCTGATTGCCGGTGCATGTGGAGAGCAGCCCAGGGCAGGTGGCTTCGGCACGGGCCGCGAAGTGGATCTTCGCCCTGGTGCTTCGGTCAACGAGCCACTGAGACTTCAGACTTCATGTTCACTCTTGCGGTTCACCCTGGTTCACCGTGCGGCTAGTCAATCGTCAGAGTTACCGTAGCTTGACCCGGCACTCAGTGAGGCTCGGCTTGCCAGAGGAGCTTGGGATGCAAGCTTGTGATCGCAACCCGTGCAGTCCTGTTCTGGACACGAATGTCTAGGGACCCAGCATTATACAATTTGGACAATTTGTAGCAGTTTTACAGGTGCCATCTAAAGAGCTGTGAGAGGAGCTCCTCCAAGGGCTTGGGGCGGCCGGTTCGGCACCGGAGGCAGGAAGGCATGAAAATGCCAATGTAAAGGTGTGAAGCAAATGAAGCCTCGAAGTATAGGAGTCGTTCAGATATGATTCTTTAAGCATGAGGATCTACACCCGGGTCATGAGCCTTGGCAGAGGCATCTGAAGGCGACGCTGTGGCTGCAGCTGCGGAGGTTGGCAGGGTTGTAACTGCTCTTTGCCTGCTGTATTTCGCTGGTGCGACCTCGTGGCATCACCTTCAGGGACTTTCGGTTTATTTCGCGAATGCTCGCAGCAATGCATGCAAGATTCAAAAGTCTCCGTTGCGAGGCAGTGTCGCTGATGCGCCGCCTCGGATTTGCGCAGCGCGCTGCATCAGATGATGAGGGGCAAGATGTACCGTGCCTGTGAAACATACCTAATGCCAAGACAAGGGAAAGTTGATCTGCCTCGTCATCACAGTTGATGAATCTGGACATACAGCAGATGGCCACCAGAATAACATGTGCGCCATGACAAGTATTCGTACCCGGTGCTGCATGTCTGACGCCATACAGGAACGTCTTGTGTATTGCGACGTGTCATGCAGGCTTGGAGGGCCGGTTGAAACGCACAGACCTGTGATTACCGGAGCCTGTGCCCATCCTGCCCCTAGGCCCGAGGCCCCCAATCGCTCTGAAGCTCAGGGTGCCCTGGTCTCTCCGCCGCTACCTGCCCGTTCCGTGCGCTGTGCTGCACTGCCTGGCCGTCGGCTCCGACGAGCTGGCGAGGCGAGAGCTGCACCATGACATGGGGCTGCATGTGTGTTGTACTGAGTCTTTGAACGGTGTGCAGAGATGTCCTCGTGACTAGTTGCTCGAAATGTGCTGATGCCGGCGATACCTGCCGGTGAGGAGTTTTGGTGATCGTACGGATCCTGGCAGTCTGGTGTTGAAACACTGGGGCTGTTACAGTTCTTCGTCTTAGTCTAGTTTCCCCGGTACCTCGCCTGAGTCATCGAGCGCGAGTGCTAAAAATGTGTGTTGTAGACGACACTCCCGAGGAGAGTCGGAGGCCCCTGAAAGCCCAGGAGACGAAGAGGCTCCGAGGCCTCTTACCACACAGGATATAGAGGCTCATGCTACTTCGCCAGAAGTACTTGAATATTCATTCTGGGTGTTGCTAAGCCATTAGGAAGTAGTAAGCAAGTAGTAAAGTTGTAGTAAAGAATTACAGTTCATAATGTTGTTTAATTGTTTACGCAGTTTTCTAATTTTGTTAACTCAATTTAAACAGCTAATGAGTTAGCTTATAATACTAACAACTTACACAACAGGATTTTGCCAACTCGAAAACAGCAAATTTGATGTTTGTATTTCGTATTTCTGGAATGTATTATTTGAACTCTTTGAACACCCTTTGCATGATTTGTTGGCATGCGCCTGGCCATGTCCTTGGCATCATGCGTTGATTCATGGAGTTGCATGGGTTGAATTCATGCATGCAGGCATGTGCGCTTGGTGGCTTGAGCGCTTTGCAACTTTCTTTGCTCAGCGACAGTCAGCATAACCTTGCATGTTGTGTTGCATGTCTTGCAAGGTTGGTCTTGGAAGGTTCATGCATGGCTGTTGTGCGAATGTGCATGCATGCATGCATGCATGGCTTGTTATAGGTGTCGTTGATTCTTGATGTTGCTTGCATGCAGGGATGATTCTTGGAATAGATGGTGCATGCTTTGCTTGAAGGCATGCTTGCTGCATGATGTTTAAACTTGCTTGCTTGCATGCTTGCTTGGTTGCATGAATGTGCATGCATGAGCATGCATGTCTTGCATGTGGGTGCATCTCTTGCATGTGGTTGTATGCATGCTTGCCTGTGCGCTTCTTTGCATGTTTGCTTGGCATGAGCAGGCTTATATATGCGTGCATGTATTGAAGGTGACTGCATGCGGCTGTGCATGCTTGGCAAGTGCTTTCTTCTTTGCATGCATGTGTGCCTGGCATGAGCATGCATATATTGCATAGTCATGCATGTGGGTGCATGATTTGAGGTGTAAAGCATGGCTTGGCTGTGCATGATCGGCGTGTGTGTGTGTGTGTGTGCTTGCTTTCATGCATGCATGCTTGCTATATATATATATGCTATATATATATATGTGTATGTATGTGTGTGTAGAGCATGGGGCTGCATTATGCATGCTTGCCTGTGCATGCTTGGCATGATTGAATGCTGGCTTCTTTGCATGCATGTTTGCTTGGCATGTGCATGTATGCATGCCTGAGCTGCATGCCCGTGTTGTTTTGTTGACAGTGAGATGCATGGCAGCTTCCTGGGTCGAACACAGCAGGGGGGAACTGAGATCTCGAAGGAAGGTCATGGCTTTGGCTGCTTCTGTGAAGAAGGAAGCGGAAGCCATCTTTACCGCTGACATGGCCAACATGAAAGTGCAGAGGCTGAACACTCTATGGCTGGCGAGTGGATTGGCTTGTATCAGAGGCATGCTCCAAATCGTTTCCTCATCCATCCTATGAACCGAGGAGGCGCCATGATCAACGGGCATGATATGCTCACGAAGGCGAGCGGTTGCTGGCACAGGGACTGAGAAAAGACCTGTTGGAGTGTTCGGCCGTCGCCTTTGCTTTGAGTAGTCAAGCCAGCGAGAGGGATTCGCACATAGCTGCGAATCGAAGCCTGGTTTCGCAGTTCTTCGCAGTTCGCCAGCGTCGCTGCTCCTTGTGGCAAAGAGCTGTTCATGACCGTTGGTTGCAGCTATACAACATGGTAACATGATTCTTGAAAAGTTTGTTCGGCAAGACCGAGAAGAACGCAAGCAGTTGCATGCAGGCGGGCCACCCAGTTCACGATTGCTTACAGGAAGGTTGGCAGTGGTTGATCCTGTCAGACATTCTGGAACGGGAGCTTCCGGGCTTGCCTTTGATGTATAGCTCAGTGCTGAACAACACGAATGCTGTTCATGTGGCAAGCACGGAGATGGAATGCTTGGCTACCTTGAGCAAGTTCTTCAAGATGAACCGATCTTTGGAGGAGGCCATTGAAGCCACCAAGCAAGGCGAGCCGGTGTGCAAGAGCCATTTGGGCAGCGTTGCCCACTTCGCCCAAAGGCATTGCGGCGGCACGGGGGTGCCGCTGGTAGACTTCCTGGTCGGATTCAGAGCCTAGTCTTCTGTAATTATGAACATGTCATCAACCTACATGGCTTGGTGCATGACATGATGCAACACACATGTGCAGGCTTTGCGAGGCAAAGTATATGGAGAATCCTTGAGGTTGGGATCAGAATTTACACGTCTCATCGCCCATTACGATTTCAAGCTCGATGCGAGTCTCGCACCGTGTTTTCGCATAGCTTGTGTGGCGACTCACATGTCGTCACCCAATCAGGTGGATGGTGTGGCGAAAATGATTTTCAAGGCAGACTTTGATGCAGCGAAGACGAAACGGAAAGACGAATTGCAGGAAGCTGAGGATAGCCTCCGACATGCTTGGCACGTGGAGCAATTGGCGGGGCAGTTGGGGAAGAACGAAATCTTTGGGCGGTTGTGTGTTCGCATGGACTTGTTGGTCCTTCGCAAGCAGGGAAAAGGACAGGAAACGAAGGAGTGGCAGTCTTTCAGCGATATTCGGGATGCATTCGCTGAAGAAATCATGAGCAAGAACACTCCTTCGGATAACAAGGGTTCGAGTGCGGCATCCAAGGGTACGACGGCGGCATCTGTGCCGGCAACAAGCACAGACGTAGTTAACATGGTTGATGCACCGAAGGCGAGCATCCTGCTTGTCCAATACAATCACTTGGAGGTTGGTTCGAATTACATGAACGATGATCATGGTAACAAGGTTTGGACTTTGACTGCAGTGTCTGATGCTGGTTGCACGTGCTTGGGCTGCATGCTATCATGTCTTTAGCCTTGAACATGCAATGGAAGCAACGTATGTCAAACCTTAGAGCATGTTTCATCTCAGGTTCGAATATCAGCCTTTGTGCCAGCCAATGGAGTCCGTGTCAGCAGATGCTTCGGAGTTAAAGAAATGGAAACGGACCAAAAAGCCTGTCCTCACCTGCTACGACCATGCAAAGACTCATCAGTTCATGTTTGGCTTATGCCAGGCAGCTCCGGATCCCATCCAGCTTGCTTCTGCACAGGTTCGTTTGTGTGAGGTTTGCAAGAACTTTACCGACACGACCGACATGGTCAGCTTCTTCGGACCGTCCATTGGTCTTTGTGCCAACGAGAACATCCCGAAGAACAAGCTGAAGCTCCCGGCCTACGGCCAGCTTTGGAAGCCTGATCCGAAAGCCACCCACACAGTGGGCGGCTTCAGCCTCAACCCGCCCAAAATCTTCAATAATGTAGAATAGCTACAGGAAATCCCCTATGTGCTAGTCCCCTTTTGGTACAGCTCGGATGACGGCCTCGTGAACATGACACTTTCTCACCAAAAGAAGGAAGGGCTTGAGATCCCTTTTTACACGAACAGTCGAGGATTGAAAGCCGGTGAATTTCTGTTGTGTGCAGCTCCCGTAGTTGCAATAGCCTCGAACAAAAGGAGGCTTCCTGATTCGTACAGGCATGCAAGCCTGTCGATGGCAGCATGCAGTTTTGCAGACCTCGGCAACTTCTGTGTTGCTTGCAAAACATAACTGCTCGGCCTTTGCATCATGACTTGCTGAGAGCCTGTAGACAGGCTTGGGCAGTTTTAAGTGAGAAGATCCCGGAGCAAGGTGTGATCGTCGAAACTATGTTCCAAATAAACAGCGCCGATCACCCCAAAGGCCTCGTCGTCCTAGCCGAGCTGCTTGTTTCTTTCGAAAACCAGCATTACATGAAGCTTGTGGCGAGCAAGTTCTGGCTCTGCAAATGCAGACTTTGCCAGGCTTGTCCGAGTGTGAGTGTCAAAAAATCACTTTGAACACGCTTTTGCAATCGCTTGTATCTCACTTTTTCGAAGAGTGTCCGATCACTTTGATCGCTCTTTTCCGTTTTCCGAATCACTTTCACTTGAAATCAGTTTTTCGGGACCCGTTTTTTGCAATCACTTTTGCACGTCACATTGAAATCATTTTCAAATGAAGAAAGTATTTGTTTAGCACTTTCTAATGGTTGCGTGCCGATGACCAATCAGGAGTGAGAGCCGCCGCCTGTCAGGAGTTTATGCCAAAATCACCGCCACTCATTCCCAAATCGCTCCCAAATCTCCCAAATCATTCCTAAATCTCTGCGAGATCACTGCAAGTCACTCCCAAGTCTTTTCCAGATCGCTCCCAAATAAACCTCTTCCCTATCAGCCCTATCACTCCCCAATTCACTCCCAACTCCGAAATCTTTCCGAAATCTCTCAAGTATTGCCTACCATCGTGGGCGCCTTAACGTTTAGCAACGTGGTGCTCGGGATTGTAGAAGCCATGATGGATCGTCGCACCAGATATTTGCAGAAGAGAGTGCAGCGCTGTTGAGATTGGCGTGGCGAGCATTGGTGTGAGTTCTAGCCCCCATGCTCTGGACTGCTCTCGGCAACTCATTTTGAACCACAGGTTCGGGCACTCTGCGCTGCATCTGGGAGGCTGGTGGCACGGCATGGTGTAATAAGCCAGGGCACACAGATGCTGGGGGAGGGTTGGCCACGGCCCCACCAGGCGTTGCTCCGTCGCCATCTTTGAATCCGAGCCGCCAAGCGCACGCTTCGCTGCGCTCAGCGCCGAGGGCCGCTACGCCCCTTGCCCGCTGCTTTCAAGAGAGGAACTCGAACTAGAAGGCGAGGGGAAGAGAATTGCAGGGTGGCAGCGAGAGAGAGCATTCGGCCTGCGGCCCGAGGAAGCTTCTCCACGTGAGTTGGAACAACTGGCCGGCGTTCTTGTGCCACTCTGCGTCATTCGCAAGAGCTGCCCAGCCATGCTCGGTCAGCACAGCCCGCTAAGGAATCTGGCCAATGTTTTCGGCCTTGACACTCGCTGTGTGGCCATTGTGCAGGGTGACAACATCGGCCATGGAGAGAAAGGTCCCTTTTCATGGTCTGCTGAAGACAGCCTGCCGAGTCTTCCGTCCATGATCTGCGTGACTCTCCAGGTTCCGAGTGCTCTCACACTGCCCAGCGGTCCTGGCCGCTGCTTTTCTCTGCGGGGCTGCGGCCACCCGCCGCCAAGCTGCACATGGGAATAGCTTCACGTTCCATCCTGTAGGCGACGGGATGTTAGTTTGCTGGGGAGCTAGGCTAGGCAGCTTTTCAGTAGCATTGGTGAGTTGAGTGGGGCTGTGCAATGTTGATGATGCGAAGCCGCAATTAAGTAAAGGGCAAGCACCGTGCCTTGGAGGGGGTGTTTGCCGAAGAAGCTTTGACCTTATCAGCCTTATCATAATGAGAAGGCTACTTCCGCCCTCATGTCATTTGCACTTGACCCCGAGCGTCACTCTGGACAACGAAACGGATGCCTGAAGAGCTGGATTTCCACAGCCATTCATCAAGGATATCAAGCCCTGGCGAATCGGGTCCCTTCCGGGATCTGAAACGGTCGTTGGCGGCCGGCACAGTCCAATAATCCATACGCGATGTGGAGGATGTGGTTGTTGCTGGCGGAGGCGTCGGAACTGTGGGGCATCTGAGATTTTGGAGGCATTTGATGGCGGCCACTTCGGTGCAGCAACCTGCCGTCCTTTGACTCTTTGACTGCTTGGAGGCTTTGCAGGGTTGCGGCTCTGGCGGTTGCCGCAGTGCCGAAAGCAGTCCCGCATCCAGATGCACTCGCAGAACATCGCCAGTCTGAGTGCAATCTATGAATTCTTTGATGCGTGACTAATTGATGCCGCAACCAAGTTCGAACAAGTATACAGGCCGCCAGACTGACGCAGTGCCGACTCTGCAGACACAAGGGCACTGGTTGGCAACCCAGAATCATGCTTCTTACACGGTCAGCAACTTCTGGACAGCCAGAGCGCCACCACTGCTTCAACGAAATTGATACCTGCATGGAATTCGAGGACGGCAGCGAGCTGACATGGATCTGCTGGAGTTTGTGTTTCAACTGTTTACAGTGAGGAACCTGGGCCAGGACAGTACGCGTGCTCCTGAGGGGGGCTTCCGAACTATTGTGAGCACAATGTTTTGCATTCCCAGCACACCAACTCGAGTCCCGAGCATTCCAAGTCCGCTAGTCGCTGCAAAGCTATGGTGGACAGTTCCAGCAGTTGACCCTCCTGAGCTTCCCACATCGAAGGCGCCTCTAGTGCTACGCAGTTGGCCGCAGTGGGAAAGAAATAGTCAGTGTGGTTGGAGCCGGGAAGGGCATGAGCGGCATTGCTAAACTGACTATGTGCTGAATGCAGTTCGAGCTCTCTCTCTCTCTCTCCCTCCCCCTCCGGTGTTAGGAAACCTTTCCCTCGTTGCTTATGAGGCATCGGAGAACTTTTCCGGCCTTGGTCGAAGCTTTGGGCACCCGCGCAGTTCAGACCCTGGAGTTCCAGTACACTGACGCTGAGAAGTTGGAAGCTGCGGTCAACGACCATGCGAGGTGGGGACGTGGACCTCACCAAAAGAAGCCAGCAAGCTCGTCATCTCTGAACCTCGTACTGAAGAAGACTGCGAATACATTGACAGTTTTGTGATCATGAAGACCAGGAAGGAGGCCAGTGCTTTCAGCAGTTTCCCGGAGGGATGGACAGTGACAAGGACCTCATGATGCAATGATCAGGAAGGGCATCGTGTTTTGAATTCGTTTGTCAACAGCACCTCAATCGAAGATTGGAGTGTCCTGCTGCGGTCAGCGGCCATGATGGTCTCACAGCATCGTCTCGTGGGGTTGAAAAAGGCTTTGCCCCGCTGGCACATGCAATGCAAGAGTCAAAACAAAGGAGCCGAGGACAATCCTGGCTCAATGTCTTCTGGTGAATTGTTTCACCTACAGCTCTGTCGAGAGTCCAAACATCTACTGCATTCAAGAATCATTCTGCCGTTGAAAAACGAGGTCGAAAGTGCATTCTGGTACGGCGAGCTACCCGGCAGAATTGAGGACTTGGGCGGTTTTGCCTGGGCGCTGCAGGTTTTTCATCATGTTGCTGCCTGTGCATCCTATGGCCTATGTGATCCTATATGGCTAGTCTGTATCGCGCCACGGAAGGTTCTGCAATGCCTTGGCTCATCGCTCGACCGGACCGTCGCACAGCGCCCACCACACACGTGCACCTCGTCTGAGAGTTATGTGCTATGTTGTTAAGTCGGCGCCAGTGGGAGCACGCTACAGACATGAAGAGTCACCAGCTCTGAGCAGCGGAACGTGGTACCTATGCCACAGAAACCTCGCCCGGTTCGCGAGCTGTGAGAGTCGGTTTGTTCTGTCTGGCTGTGCCTCGCGGCTTGTAGATAAGGAGACTGAACATAGTGAACAGTCGTGGAACCTTCCTGAGTCTGAGGTCATGCAAGTTCTCATGGCCCAGGAGTCAGGGTGGGACCGGGATAGTCTGCGCGAGGGAGCGTAGGCCGAGAAGGCATGGGTTGCGCAGGGCATTCAGGGCCGAAGCAGCCTGAAATTCACGTGCACTTACCTTCGATTCCCGCTTTCTTTCATGCCGGCTCAGTACTTCGATGCCTTCGCGCGCAGCTTCTCGCAGGCAAGTGCGGAGGAGCCTGGCAGACTTCAGAAACAGTACTTTGAACGCCCCACTGCTGTACAAAACCGTGTCGCTCGCAGGTGCAGCTCGGTCATGCCGCCCCCGCACTGCGCCGCTCACGATCCCGACGGGCGCGCAGGTCCAGGACAGCTCCCCCGAGCAATTCCAGAGCATTCCCTGAATGCCCGGAACGCCTGGCATGATGGTGGAGCTTTGTTTTGTTTTGATGGCCGGTTGCAAGCAGACCATTCTGCGGTTGTGGCGTGGCGCATCCGTGTGCCCACATTCCGATTGTGCGAAAGATTCTGCGCAGGCGCTCTCCGTCCTCCGACTCCCGGCGTCGGAAACGCCGGCGGGGCTGAGGCACTCGCTGAGATGTTGAGTGTATTTTGTGGAGCTCTTCGCGAGCGGCCCGCCCATGCAGGCGCTTGGGGTCACGGCCCGGCATGCCCGCCACGCGAAAGAAAAAAAGGGGAACGGAACCAGCTCTGTTCTGACGCTGACATTCTCATAGAGGATGCCTCCTGAGTTCAGACTAGTGCCTGGAAACCTGTTCATGTGCCACAGCCTCAGGTTCGAAGCAAGATTGAAGTGTTTGAGCCTCAAAACTTGTCGAACACGCCAGGAGCCCAGTGCCAGGTTGGGGGAGATGAGGGATTTTTGGCGGGGATTCTTACTTCTCCCACCGAGGGCCTGGGCCTTTGCGGCGCTGCGCATTGAAGATGCAGAGCTCATGCACATCCTCGCGGGGAAGGCACTCTCTAGCAGTCTGAAGGGAGGTCTGCGCATCATGCCTCCGCTTCAAGGCACAATGCCAAGCGGCCACAGCCAAAGCTTAAACTGAGTTATCAACAGCTATTCTATGCTGCTCTACAGCGCTCTCCGCAACATATTTTTTCCGACCAAGGATTGCAGTAGTGAGAGCAAGGGACAAGTAAAAGGTTCTTACTTAAGCACATCGGAAACTCCGGTCGACCTGCGCTCCGAGATCTTCCAGAAGATCAGGCTGTGCTCCTGCCCGGGCCTTGCAGGGCCTCCTTTGCGAGGCCAAACGTCCGGTAGCGGAGATTTCAAGATGAGGAGACCCTCACCACAGCCTCCGAGGCACCATGTCTCATCTCTTGCGCTAATCTGGCTTCCTGCCACCTGCCCCCTTCTCACCTCATTGAAGTCATCAGCTCAGGCCGGGATCTGGCAAGCATCTCTTGGTCCTTTGCAAGGCCGGTCAGAAGAAGCACCGAAGGAGCCGCTTCGGCGCAGTTTTTCAGCATCCCTTGAGGTTGCATCTGGAGAGCCCGGAGCTGCTCGTCACCACGCCGGGACCTTGTCTAAAAGGAGCCCATGGCCCAGGTTGTTCCAGATGGTGTGCGTTGCAGGCGTTTTGTCAGAGACCTGAATTGTCCTAATTGTCCTTGAAGGTCCAGTGCTGTGCATGATCGGGTGCGGCCCTGAGAACATCACTTAGTCTGCAGGTGCAAAATCGGAGGTACGTGAACAAACCTCCGCTACTTGATGTGGCCCTCATGAAACAGTCAGGTGGCAGAGTTCGAAGTCAAGGGCCTGTCCAATGCCATTTGGGCCTTTGCTGTCCTGTCGACGCAGGCAGTTGAACCCTCGAATCCTCAGCCGTTCGCAGTGAGGGTGAGAGGTCGCCCTGTGGCAGGATGAGCCGGTCATGTTCGAGCTCGCTGAAGCGGCGCTGCAAAAAATTCGGCAGCAAGGGCCTCTGTGAGCTCGTAGAGCCAAGAAGCATCGCCTGCAGTTCGCATCTCTGCCTTCGGCCTGCCAGGTGCCGCTCAGAAAGATCCGCGAAAATCGAGGCTTGCCAGGGGGTTTAGTGATGTTTGGTGGGGGCGGGGGTGGGATGGGGTGGGGGGAAGCAGGTTCTCGGGCTGAGGCATTGCTCCGTTGAAACGAAGCACCGGCCACCCCACCAGGACCCCCGGCTCCGCCTTACCCAGAAGGTTGTTTGGATTGCAAGCCTGCATCTCCGGAAATATCGATTCTACTCGTCACGAGGCTTGGTGTGTACGATGCACATTCAGAAACCACCCAGCATTGACAACCAGTCTGAGTAAGATGAAGTCCGCAAAACAACGCACGCAGTCATGTGCCGCGGACCATGAAAGATGGCAAGATGTGAGTGGTTCTTGAAGCAGGGTCCGCCATTTAGGCCCTCACAGTACGGGTTTCTGACTTCGCAGGATCTGGCAACGGACCTGAACGGCTTGACCTGGGCAACTTGTCAGTGTCAGCTTGATGGGCCCACAGTGGCAGCTGCTGCTTGCCCCTGTTTAATGTGTTAACATGTCATGTTAGATTACAGTTGAGCGGCAGAGAGAGAGAGAGAGAGAGAGAGAGAGGGGGAAACCTCTCTGCCCCTAACCCTGCTGAAAGAAAGAGAGAGAGAGAGAGAGAGAGAGAGAGAGAGCGAGAGAGAGACAGAGCGCGAGACAGCTGTGGGCATTTGGCACTGTGGTGATAGCACAAGTGCTTGGGGGGTGGGGGGGAGGGGGGGGCGGGCAGGTCTCTCTCTACTGCGACTTCTCTGCCTGTGTTGAAGAAGAGATCCGTGCTCTGTGTTGAAGTTCATGGTCTGCATTGCATGTTGAAGGACTTGTCTTTGCTTAGGCGGCTAGGAGTGGCTGGCAAAGGGGGTGTAGCCACTGTCGCGCGAGGTCCTGACACAAGCGTGTCAGGAGCGACACCTGTGTCTTGAACGTAGGGGTTGCATTTTTTTGATGGTTCGGGAGGGATTGGCAAAAGGGTGGGTTCGTACCAGGGTTTAGCACGGGTTGGGGCGGTTTCGTACAAGGGTCAGGCCCTGACATCTGCATGGGGGTCTCGCAGCTTGGCAGCTTCGAGTTTCGCAGCTTCGCAGCTTCGATTAAGATGCTTAAGTGCCCCTCTGACCGCCTGTGGCCTTTGTCGTGGAATCGTTGCTCATCCCGCGGCTCCTTCGGGCTCGTAGCTACGATTGTGCTTTTCTTCCAGCCTGCGATGATATTGGGTTTTGTCTTTCCGTCTAGATTCCCGAGCAGAAAAGTTCTGAGGCCACTTAGTTTCACAGCAGAAAGAGGAGTGTTTGAATGGTCCTCGTGCGAGAGACCTGGAATTACCTGTCTTGACTTTCCGTCTTCGCAGCAAAGCAAAGCCGCTAGCCCCGTTGGAATTAGATTCAGGAGAGTACAATTTGTTGGCAATTGCAGATAACCTTTGTTCGTGGCGGTGTGAATGCCTGCTGAGGCCATGGAGCGGGTCAGCTTTCTCTCAGGTGCCATCGCTGCATGCTCTCCGACCTGTGCGTCTAACATTCAAATCTCTGAGCGGATCCTCCTGATTGTTGTTCATGAGCATAAAGCATGTCAGTTAAAGTTAAAGATTGAGGTTGAGGAAGTATCGTGAGAGGTTAGAGCTGCAGCATCGCGTCTAGGGCTTGGCCTCCCGGGGGTGGGTGGGTTTCTCGGACTGAACTTACACTGGGATTGGTTGCAAGGTGAGGATAGGCCTTTTGTTTGGGCTTCGTCCTGGAGTATTCGCTGCAGCAAAGGCAAACTTGTTTGTGCTTCAAGTGTGAACGGGGATCCCCATAAGCAGTGCCTGGGAGTGCGGTAGTCGGACTGCCACAGCATTCAGATACCTTCGCAGCAACCCTGCTGGACTTCATGCCAGAGTCTTATGCATCAGTGCTTCGAACGCTGAAGCTCTGCCGCGGTTTTTTGTTTCATGAAAGTTGTCTTGGACGTGCCACCCTGTCTGTGTTTGCTCTGAGTGTCGCGATCTTGGGTAAGAAAAGCGAGACTTGTACTGTGTAGTATCGTCGTCGTGCTGGTGGTGGCGGAGGTCGCGGTCGCGGTCGTGGTGATAGCAGGAGCAGTAGTAGCAGTGGTAGCAGCAATAGCAGAAGAAGTAGGAGCAGCCGTGAAAAGTCAGAAACTCACAGAAAATAGCGTGATCCAATACTGGAAGGTAATTTAACAGGCACCAACATATTTTCAGTTCTAGTTTAACAATACAACAATATCAACACCCGGGTGCATGACAATATAGCAGTATAATGACTACACGGAGCTGATGCTGGATTTGAGCCTGGGTTCAAAGCTCACGGTGTAGTGAACAGATGTGAACACCATAACACGACATTACCATCACATAATCACATGATCGCATGATATCATCAAGTCAAGTCAAGTCATCCTGCACGCCCAGGGGCAGCTCCTGTGGAGCACTGGAATCACACTGACATGAAGCTGAACGAACTCATCCTGCAATCTCAGCAAGCGACTCATTGACATTCAGGATTGGCGAAACGAAAGGACACGCGGCAGTTCTACCTTCCAGTTTTGAAGCTGCGTCCAATCGGTATTGTCGGCCAACCGGCAGAACGCGGCCTAAGCATCCCATGGTTGCAGTGAGCGACCAGGATGAGCATGCAGTCAGCACCTTCGCATGCCCCAGCCATCCCAGCCCAGAGCTTCACCCACCGGCTATAAGCAACATACTTGGGCAATGTCCAGCGCCGTTTCAATCACGTGCGTTGACCACGAATGCATCTGAAAATGCTTACTGATGTTGCGCACACTCTGTTTTCTGATCATGACGCCGAAGGAGCCGCCTCCACTCCACATCGAACTTGTGCAGATGTCACTACAAGCAAATGGAGTGACAACAGCACCGAAGAATCGAACACGAAGCTGCACGGAATTGAAGGTTACGCACCTGCAAATGCAACCGTTTGCTTTCCTCCAGACTCGTGGCTGAACGATGCTGTTCGCGCAAACTGGACAAAGTAACTGACGTCGATATTGATCCCGATGCTGTTCGCCACCTCCGCATCTTTTCCCGGCACCGGCGCAGCTATCTTCCGCTTCAGAGAATATTGCAATGTTTGCATTGGTTACTGTTATTTTGCGTGCCCATGGACGCAGCTCGGCCTGACAATCTGCCGCTTTTCGAAAAGCATCCAGCCGCTGCATCCATCCTTGTACTGGAGCCCGCTCGATTTGTACAATTAGACATGCTTGCTAACAATGCACAGGGATGGGGGCGATGCAATGAAAGTTCTGTGGTAGTGGTGTGCACTTGTGCACTGAATGACATGGACGAGCGTCAACACCGCAGCTCCAGTCTCGTGAAGCTTTCCGTCCCTTTTGCACCCACCAACACCGCCGTTTCTAGAGGATAGTGGGGTGCCGACTGAACGCAGTGCTGTTTAAACTGCACAGGACAGGTTCAGTCAGATGCCGCCTGCCAACAGCAAAGGCATTCCAAGAGTCGGGGCAAAAGACTCTCTCTGCAAGTGTTTGATCAGTCTTTGCGTTCTGTGCGGCATGGTGTGTTAGGGAGATGTCCAGAAAGTAACGGAAGTTCGAGTTCAGCCACGACGTCTTCAAATCGCGATTGGTCTTTGATTCATTCTTTGCGCAATTTGGCTTGAGTCGCATCATCGGCTGTGCAGTTGCAGGACGAAAAGTTTCCATGATGCTTGGCCTTATTGCCAAAATTGCTTTCTCGATTGTAACCCGTGCCATGTATCCGCATGATGCCACAAAAGCAGAATAACACCGCATACGTAACAAGTGAACAAAAGATCTATGTGCGAGTGCTATATGTATAATTATATACAGATATGAATTGCAAGAAAACACCACGTTTAGATCACAATACCATGCTGGCTCGACCTTGCGAAGTAGGAGGAGGAAATAACAAAACTAGTGCAGGAGGAATGGTTATATCGTGACACTTGAAGGACATCATTGGCTTTAACACAAAAACATAACACAGAGCTAGACTAATGTAGTAGTTAACAAAGCAATGTAACAGTAGACTGGTACAAAAACACAGCCGTATACCAGCATAAGAAGCAGTAAAATGCCAGTAAAGTAGCACAATAGTCAGCAATCTGACTAGTGCAGCAGTTTAAGAATGCATTCATATATCCTAGTAGTACAATGAATAGAAATAAGATGTGAAAAGCCTTTTCTATATGCGTAGCAAAGAATGTCGAATGAAATGATGTAGTTCAGTATAAAAACTGTGAGATAGCATACTGTAGCAGAATATAGCATGGTGTGATATAGTAGAACAAATACAAAACAACATAATATAATCCCCATCACATAGCATAAATGCAAAATGCTTTTTTATACCGTAGTAGAATATAAGATAAACTGAAATGACACAGTACGACATAAAAGCATTTTGATTCAATTTGACACGGTACGGCAGAATGTGTAGCCCTTCGGAAAGCAAGGCCTTGTATGTGTGTATATTGAGATAGTTAGATAGATATGTAGATAGCCATACATCCCGTATCGCAGTTGTATCATGGACGTAGTAAAGCATGAGAAAACATCATGCAAGGTCAGGCAAGACGTGCATATGTGTAGCATAAGAAACAGCGCAATACAGCACGATATGGCAAAACTGTATTGCACGACAGTTTCAATACACTATACTCTGTTTCAGACCTTGCCTGGCGTTGCCTGAGTGTAAGTGCCAAGTAGGTCGCATAGCGAATGGGAAAGGTACACAACACATGATACAGCATGGCCAGTACATTAGAAGACACGGCAACACGATCACACATAACATATAGGCATTTAACATAGTGCTTTACGGTGTAAACGGCGTTTCATGCAATATGCTGCAATATATTGAAAGTTTTAGAAGTTAATACAATATGATCTTCGGTCGTATACTGTAATGTTTCTAGCATTATGCAACGTAATGCAACATACCCTAGAAAATACCAGAGTGCAGTCCAATTCGCAAAGTATCGTTTAATTCCATAAACTTTCGTTTGTAATATAGTTACCCAACGAATACGTTTGATCTCGTGTCCTCTGGTCTTCCTTCATGAACTCCTGGCCTCCCTTCATGAATCGCAGGCTTTCTGGTCTCCCTTCTTGCAGACCTTTCATGGCCCGGATTGGATGGCTCGGTGCCGGGGTCTGGGCTGCATGGTCTCCTTATGTCTCCTTCATGAAAACCTTTCCTTGCCCTGCATTGGGGAAGCTTGTCTCTCTGGTCTCCCTTCAGAACTCCATCTGCCAGTGTTACCAACCAGCAAGCACGTTAACAGGACAACAGGAACTCACCGCATGGATGGAATCGGCAATTTGTGTATTCTGGCCCTCTCTAGCCCACCGGGTTCGGTCACCATTCACTACGACAGCCAGTGGGCAACGCACATGGTCACGGGCAAATTCAAGGCAAAGCGTCACAAAGCCTTAGTCCGCCCCGCCAAGAAAATCCACCACGCGCTGATGCAGCACGTTAAAATCCAATGTCCAATGGCAATGGGTTAAAGGACACAGCGGGAACACGGCAACGAAAAGGCGGACGAACTTGCGGAAAAGGGGAAAACGCAGGCTACACCTCAAGGAGAACACTCTGGTATAGCCCCTCTATACACGGCAGATCACATCCGTCCAGAAGCGGCGCCCGCCCCCCGTACCAGCCCGGCAAAGCCTCCACGCGTCTGGCGTCTGCTCTCAAGGAAGCCGAAAAAGCAAACCATCCCCGCCATGGCCCACCGCCCCAAACGGCCTGGATCATGCCAGCATTGGCGCAGGAGCTCGAAGAGGCTCTGAAGCTCAGGGCTCAGGGCCTTCTATATTCCATTATGCTACATTTTCAGTATAGCATAGTCTAGTATCGTATACGACAATATAGTATGATATAGTAGGTTATTAGTTATGATAGTATGTTATGTACTACTAGGGTTATATTATCTTAGGTTATGTTCTGTCATGCTATTTTGTGACACATCATTATATAACAGTTGCTTATCTTATGTTATCACATGCTATCATATGTTCTAATGTAACTGTATAGCCTCGAATCTGTTGAATGTGATATATGTAGTTTAAGATAGGGTTAGACATTGTAACACCGTCCGGTATGTAGTCCGTTCTCTGATCTAAAATCAAGTCGAACCTGTAACCGAATATATTTTGGTACATAATGTGAAATTCAATATATTTTAAATTGGAAACTACAAGAGTAGACCAAATATCCACAGCAAAGACCAGGTTACAACATGAAAAACATAACTCACTCCAATGCAACAACATGTAAACATGACCTGATGCACCAAAAGATGTAGCTTTATATCGCCAGGCATATGCTATAATAACACATCTCATAATGTAATGTAACATGACAGAAATTTTCGTGTACAGTCAAGTATTCTAATAGAGAATGAGAGAGTATGAAATAGTACAACAATACAGTGTAATACATGAAATATCGTATAAACATCGGGATGGTGGTCTTTGCAACAGTGCTTCGAGGCAGCACCTCGGCCGTGCAAAGGACGCAGAAATGCCAGGAACCCAGTATGACTACCTGTTTTACATCCAGCCCGAAGCTTGCGACCTTTGCGAATGAATCCAAGAAGATGTGCCAGGGCTGGTCCGCATCGACCCCCGCCCGCGAAGATCGAGAGCGTTGGGCCGGAGGCGCACCGGTTTTGTCGTTTATTCAATCGTAGGTTGCAGCTGGGTTGCGTCTGTTTTCAGTAGTTTCAGTTTTGGATACCCTGCCTGCAGGGGGCGTATGCAACCGAAAGATGTTTACGTACTATGTCGAGACAGCCTGCCAAGTTCATTTTGCATGACTGCAGCATTTCGAGGACCATCCTGGCGAAGATCCGTTGCTGCGCCTAGATTTGCTGGGACCCAAGCCCAGTGTGCTGAGCTATACCGTGGGGGGGAGGAGTGTGTGAGGAGTTGAAGTTTATGGTGTGCATGTACGAAGCTCAGTGCTAGATTTTTGCAATGGCACATGTGTGACCATGGGACCCGGTGCACAAATACATTCCGTTTGGAGCGGTCCAACAAAGCGCGTGTCAAATGCTAGGCCCGACATGTGCTGCGTGCACAAGCCGGCGGGATGGGAGGTTGACAACGAGGAGCTGTGCAAGCACGAATCGCCTTGCCAATTGTGTAAAGCTGTCCAGCAATCCTTCGTGATCGTTCTATGCGCGTTCCCTGCAGCGTCAGTCTTGAACCTTGGATCTGCGAGAAATCGGGCAGCATTTGAGAATTCCAATCCTTCCTAACCTGCGTAAACGGATGCAAGTGGTGGGTCTTCTCAGCATGAGGATGCAGGGGGCGGCCCCTGGATGTCCTCCTGGCTCATGCAGCAGCCCGGGGCCAACTTGAGAGGTCTCCGAGTCTCTGCCTCTGCTCGCGAGTTGCCGTTGAATCGGCCCGTGCAAGAGAGGTTTCCCTTTGACAGCGTGCCGATAGTGCAGCTGCCAGGCTTTGAGGAGGGCGAAGCCATCTACCGTCGCCATCCGTCACCATAGACAGTCCTCTGGCCAGGTTCATTACGAGGAACATCAGTTCGGCTTGGTTCAGAGCAAGGGGCTCAGGACCCTGGGTTTAGGCTGGCCGATCTCACAGCTTTACCGAGTGGACGAGCTAAGGACTGGACATCCCCAGCTCGGGCCTGATCCTTGCTGGCAAGACCTGGGAGGCCAAAAACGAACGTCGCAGAAGCCTGGGGCCTCGTTTCTCGACAGGGCTTCTACACGCTCAAGTTTCAGCTGCAGACGGGTCTCCTTGTCCGTGAATATGCCGCTCGATTGTGACAGTGGGAAGCCTGTCGGACTTACACATGCCATCACATGCCCATTCTGCCTGAGGTGCAGCTCGTTCACGGCTGGGTGCTTGCCTTGGCCGTGCTGCATTGCCGGCAACCTCTAATCTACATGTTGTACTGGGACACTCAGCAGGTGGCGCTGGACGGCAGAATCAACGAGAAGCCAGCAGCCTGGATCGCGACGATTCGTGTTTGATCTGAGTTGAAAGCAGAACCAGAATCACAAATGAATCAAGCCATTCATCGGCCCCCCCCCCCCCCCNNCCTGGATCGCGACGATTCGTGTTTGACTTGAGTGGAACGCAGACCGCAGAACAATAGAATCACACCATCGGCCGCCTCCCCGGCCATGCTGCTCTCAGGTCTTTTGCCGCCAATGCATCGGCCACCACTCCGGCTCCGGGGCTTCTGCGAGTTGTGGCTCACCTCAGGTGGCTGGGCTCTTTAGATTTGGGGCCGTGGCGTGGGAGTTGGTTCTTCTATTGGGAGTCTTTGCATCGCGGACGAACTCCAACCGGCTCGTAAGAGTAGGCTCCTGGATGCTTGCAAATCTGTGAGACAATGCTCTCATGGAGGCGACACAGCGAGGGCGAGGAGCAGAAATTCAGCTTGGTCCTGCTGCAGGTGGGCCCCGTTCAGAGCCTGCAGGCTGGCTCTGGTGTTGCTGCTCCGTTGCTGTCATCCATTCCAACGACCCACAGTTGAGACAGATTGTCCTGCTGAACCCTGTGAGTCATCTTGTTTATCCAGAGACGCAGCACAGCGACTGACACAGTGCTTGAACTGGTGTCTCAAGCGGTACAGCGCATTGAGCATTCAGGCTTTGTCGAAAGCGATTTGTGCTTCCATGCCCGCAGCACTTTGTGCACCAGATTTTGTCCCAGAAACTTGGCATAGATCCCCGCGCGGTCGCCATGGCAGACAGTCAGTGGACGATCAAAGTAAAGATTGTCAGCCACTTGACCGAAGCAAATCGAGGGCTAGCCGGGTTTGGCTAGTCTGAGAGTGGCATGAGGTATGGACAACGAGGCCATCCATGGAAAGAAGGGAACTAAGTGGAAGGCCGGTGATGACCTCACGTTGCAGATTGAGGGTCACGCGTCGCCCGGCTGTTCTCAGCTCTTTTTGGAAAGCTACCACCGCTTGTTCTGTTCATCAACAGGTCTGTTGGCACAGCGTGAAAAAATCAGTTTGCTTTGTATATGTGGCTCGCCAGCTTGCTGAGCTCAAGCGTAGGCGTAGGCTTAGTTGTAGAGCCGGCAGCTCATGAAGATGTAGAACTGTGGCCCCTTTGACGGTGGAGCAATGACAGGAAGAACCTGGCAGTTCAATCGCGAGCCACAGACACGACTGGCGGTTCAACTGCCTAGAGGATCACGCATGTCCATATCTGATCGTGTGCAGAAGGCCCCTGTACGAAGATATGAGATGACGGTGATATCGGATGTTTGGCCAACAAAATCTAAGAGCGAGCGCAGAGCCCTGCGAAAAGAGAAGCCAGCTAGCCGCGAAGAGGAAGACCGCATGCCTACCGAGGACCGCGCGCACTTCTGGAAAGCCAGGGCGGAGCGCTTTCATGTTGACTGTCATTTTCCAGCCTTGGTCACGAAGCAGTTGCTTCCAAGTTGGCGGAGCTTCACGGAAGACGACAGGGAGGACGCTGGGCGGATCGGCCCCATGTCCAACCCGAGGTCGAGCCACCTCCCGGATGCCATTGCCGAGGCTCTGTCAAAGCCGACCGTGTCATACAATGCCAAGCAGCGTGCCAAGTTGGAGACGGACATGAGCCCGTGCTGGTGTCCATGAAAGAGGGACCTCTGCACTCACCACGTTTCACTCGGGCTGCCAGTCTCGCAGTAGACGGAATCCTGAAAGGCTTCAACCTAACAAACCGCATGAGCCTTGGTCTGAGGAGCTGCGACACGCACACAAAAGAGAATGGCCCGGCTTGCTCTGTGGATGTAGCGACGCCAAGTCAAAGTTGATGCCATGATGAATTTTCATAAGGACGGTCAACATGTTGAAACAGCGAATTGCTTTGATCGTGATGGCGCACCCGAGTCCTGCCAGAATTTGAGCAGCACGGGCTTTTGTTGCAGCCGCGCTGCCTTTATGTTGTCATCGTGCTCAAGCCACCATTGATGTCGTCTCTGGCTGCTGACAATCTCAGGAAATTTCAGGCTGTGTCGTTCAACGGCAGCGAGCCATTGGACGAGGTCACGAAACTGCAGGATATCGAAGGCATGGCAAGTGGAAAGCTGCTCGGCAACCTTGCAGGCAGAGCCATTTCCGAGCTGTGCTACGCTTGATTTAGGAGAGATCACGCTGCGACAGGAGCCCTGTTCGTTACCTCCATGAGAAGCGTGGCTGCTGCATCCAAGGACCATGGAGCTCGTAGTCGCAGTGCCTCCCGAGCCGGAGGCTGGACATGGAGTTTTATGCTCCTTCTGGCTGACTAGAGCGATAAGCTGCGAGTTTTTGGTCCTCACACCATACCCGCATCTCCCCGTGCATCTCCAGGCGCCGCCAGTGGTGCTGTCAGACGATGCGCCTTGCCGGGGTTCGTGTGAAAGCAAAGTCCCAACCATTCGAAGGTAGGGCCGTGGAGTGGTCAGGTTTTTGTCTTTCAGTTTCTAAAATGAAAGGGCTGGCGATACGGCATGGAAGTCATCGGGCATCTTCGCGCTACACCTGTAAGACTCGGCAGCCCTGCTCTTCGTCCCTCGTGGTCCCAGGAGGAGGTTGCGATGACTGTCGAGGAGGAGCCGTTGCCAGAGCAGCCCGCTGCAGAGCCTCTTTTGCAAACCACGTGCAAATCGTAAAGTCGGGGCGGGGAAGCCGGTGTGCGTACCATGCCGGCTGAGGACCTCATCACCAAGGAGCTATTGCCCGGCTGTGCATGTGTCGCGACATTCATGGAGTGTGACAACGTCGCATGCCAGAGCTGCGACAGCTGGTTGCCAGCAACGAAGCTCCCTGTATGTTGAGCTGCGCACATGACTCAAAGAACTGTGCCGGTTTGCAGTTCGCAGGAGCTGGGCGATGCCGAGGCCGACAAGCAGGGCGAGTTGAAAAGCCAGGCCGCGGACGATCCTCGGCGCCTTTCGTGAGTCATGGCCTGCGCGGATACGTGCCGGCATGGTGATGTCACAATGACGTAGCGCCTAGCTGGCCTAGCTGGCCTAGCTTGGAGGCAAGTGAGAATTTGAGAAGGAGGGCTTTCGCCAAGTTGCCCTGAACTGCCAACCTCGTCCCAGGGTTTGGAAGATGATCACCGCTTCACTCCCCAGAGCTTGTGTACGTGCAGCTCAGGCACTGGAAGATGGCGATGTAAAAACGGCCGTTGCCAAGTTCACCGAGGCGATGATGCTGGGCGGAGCGCCTGGGCTTAGGAGAATGCGGGGCTAAGCCTTTTTCCCTTCAGAAGTCCTGAGTGTTTCCAAGTTTCAGTCAGGTCTCGGCCATGATGGTCGCAAAGCGAGCAGAAATGCTGCTGAGACTTGACTTCACCGCATACAGCCGAAGCCCTTAACACCTAGAGGTCTAACCTCCTGCGGCAACCTATCCGTACATCTTCCAACAAGTCAGTGCAGATGGGCTCGAACAGTTTCATGCCGCAGCGATGTCTTTACGCAGATGACCAGTGTGTTTCTGAATCATTGTGTTGACATAAGGGAGTCTGTCCGTCGAAAGAAAAGCTCCAAAGAGCATTGGTATTGACCCCTTGTGCCTGTTTATTGTGTCGAGCCGGCTCTTGTGTGACCGGGCTCCTCTCTCTAGATGTTGTATGGCTTCCTGCTAGTGGTCGCTTCATCTCGCATCGCTGGGTTGAAATACGCATCGATGAGCGTTCACACTCGGGGAACCGCTTTCAACAATCACTTGTGTTGTGAACGTTCCACGTGGAATCGAGCTTCTAGACGGGGAATGGCTGGATTTGATGTGCTGTCATGCCACTGATGCGCGTCTCGAGTGGGCGCTTGTAGAATCGAGCGTCTAGATGAGGAAATGCTGGTCTTGATGTGGTGTGCTGCCACTGATGTTCGTCTCGAGTGGGTGCTTGTGGAATCGAGCCTCTAGATGGGGAATAGCTGGTCTTGATGTGCTGTCATGCCACAGATGTGTGTCTCGAGTGGGCATTTGTGGATCGAGCTGGGGAATGGCTGGATTTGATGTGGTTTGCTGACACTGATGTTCGTCTCGAGTGGGTGCTTGCGGAATCGAGAGTCTAGATGGGGAGTGGCTTGTTTTGATGTGTTGTGATACCACGAATGTGTCTCGAACGGGTGCTTGTCCATTTCGGAGCTAATCGCGTGGCCCTGTGGAAAATAGTTCCAGCTCATCCAGCTGGGTGCACGCACGCGCAGACAGACATACCTACGACACAGGGACAGGGACACACCTACATGGGCAATGGCTGGTTTGGGCATGCTGTGATGCCACTGATGTGTGTCTTGTGCGTGCGCTTGTGAATCGAGCGTCTACATGGGTAGTGGCTGGTTTTGGTATGTTATGAGGCCACTGATGTAACTGATGTATGTCGCGTGGGCATGCTTGTGAAATCGCGAGTCTAGCTGGGGAATGGCTTGTTTGGACGTGCTGTGATGTCACTGATGAGTGTCTAGTCTTGTGCGTGCGCTTGTGAATCGAGAGTCTACATGGCGATTGGCTGGTTTTGATCTCATTGGTGTTCTCGAGTGCTTTACGATCGATTCATGCGACGAGAACACAACAGCGTCTACTTGGGGATTCGGTGCCAAAATGTGCTCTAGAATGCAATGAAAAGCACTTGAAACCCCAGCGTCCGCGGCAGATCCCGAAGATGGAACTTGCGCGACTTGGAGATTAGAAACAGCGTCGACATGGGGATTAGCATCTGTGGATGTGTATTCTCGCGGCTGATGTGTAATTCCTTGAAGCAGCGTCCACACTCGGGTGATGTGTATTTTCGCCGACAGGTGTGAGACAAACCCTACGCTGGTAGCTGTTTCTGCTTAGTAGCGGAATGAGTCCGGATAATATGATCCCCTAAAGAACTTTAAGTGCATACTTTTTTGGGGCTTATGAACTCAGCAACTAAGTCTGTGTGGCTCACCGCAAGCATTTCCGGATCAGTTGCAATTGGTTTCAGCATGTTGAAATCTACCTAGTGCCAGCATCTGTGTGTTCCACCAAGCTTTCAGGAAGCAGAAGCGATACAAAGCTGTGGTCGCTGATGCATCGCTGGCGTTGGAGCTCAATCCTGACAGTGCTAAAGATTCTCGGCGATGAAAACCTCTCGGGAGCTCAGCCAGTCACTCTCCGAAACGACGTTTAAGCTGTAGTCGCCTTAAGGATCTTAAGGCCCCCGGTCACAGATACAGTGCCAGGACTGTCGAGGTGGGAAGATCAGCGTAAGGCGTAAGGCAACTCAGCCAAGAGTGCGGTGCGGGAACGAAGGGACGAAGGGATTGCGCCGAGGCTTTCCGGGCTCGGGCGAAGGCCAGGCGCTTCCTTGGCGAGTACGAGGCTCTCGGAGAGGGCACTTTGCAAAACTAGAATTTGGAGTCTGTGCGGCTGTGGCATGAGCTCCCTGCCGAAGGGTTTAATGGGTTGCCTGTCTTCTTTAGGTTGAGGTTGCAAGGCCTAGGTGTGAATCCCATCGTGGTGCAAGAGTTTGCTATCTCGTGACAGGGCTGTCGCGGAGAGGTGGTTCAGCACTCATGCGATGCTGTGAGCAGGGCAGGATGCGTCAGCAAAATGCAAGCTTCCAAAGTCTTATACTCCTGCTCGGTGAGTCCATGCGAAATCCTCAAGCGCCACATGCTTCTACCGTAGGCTGAGGCGTCGTAATTTCTTTTGGAGCCTCTCTCAGCTCTGCCAGGCGAGCGCAGCCGATTTTGCCCAGGCTGTGCTTCGAGCTGTGCTTCGCAAGACTGTTCCGTGATTCTTTCTGCATGCCATTGCTGGAGTATTTCGGCTATTTTGATATGGCCAGGCACAGAAGATTGACTATGACGATGGCACCGCGGCAAGCAGTCAGCATGTCATGTGTGAACAACAGCTGCAAGTGTAAGGAGCTTATTTTAAGCTTTTGGGCCGGCAGACCGTCATGTGCCATGTGCTCGACCAGGGCTTGCAAGGCAGGTTGTTGGATCTAGAAATGCAGGAGGCAAAATTGAGAGAGAATGAGAGAGGTGGAAGACATGCCGCACTCACGGCTTGTAGAACGACTACCAAACGCCAGCATCTCACGGTCGGAGGGAAAACCCGCAGGTGTTGCCGACATGCACAAGTACGTTCAGACAAGAGCGGAAAAGATCAAGCTCAAGGCTGCTCAGGCAGGGTACGGCGGACTGTCGCACAACTGCCTCGGTGACAGGTTGTAACTTACCAGGTAGTAATCAGACTCAGACGTCTGCACATCCAAGACCTCTAGCTTTTGGAGCAAGCTTATTGCCAAGAGACTTTCCAGCTTTGTTGGTCAGAGCCAAAGCGCCATACCCTTGCCGCCATGCTTATGAGCACGCTTTCGACGGTTGCAGAGGGGCCTCAGGGGTGTCGATCCGAAATGCGGCCCCGTGTGATGCTGCGTCCGGACTTCTCTCCCGAAACTTCGCCCAAGCATGCGACCTTGGCTTCCAACCCTAGGCCTTTGACGAAAGTGCATGGCAACGCCACTGTCCAGGAGAGGCCATTCCACCGTTCATGGAGTCTCAACAAGCGTGAGCTTTCCATGGTCGCGCATCCACATCCCAAGCCCTGGTCGCACAGCTCTTGCCCGGGCAAGAAGGAGACCCCTGAAGGGCAGAACGTCTTCCACCGCGTGTGGCTGACAGACGTGGGTGGCCGGGGGCGCTGGAACAAGCAGAAGAAAAAGGATTTCTATGAGAAGCAGGATAGGGACATGCAGTCCAAGCTTCCGCATGACCTAAAGTTCTGCAACACCGACACGCATTATAAGTTCTGGACACATCTGCTGGATGGCGGAGTGACAGCAGGCGGTCAGGAAAAGCTGGATTACGGCTATCGGGGGCCGGCTTCGACCAAGCAGCACTTCTATCTAGGCAAGTTCGAGAATGTGAAGCACTACCAGCGCATAGTTCAAACAGGTTTTATTGATCAGAAAACCAAGCAGTACAAGGAGCTCCACGTGGACACCCGAGACGAGTTTGACAGCCGCTTGAAGGATGACATGATCGCACACAACGAGGCGGAGCTTCTTTGGGCCAAAAAGTCCAGCTTTGACCTCTTCCGGCCTAAGAACACCATTTCTTGTCCGCATCTAGGGGCGGACTTTGTGAATCGTGCCGGCTAGGCCTAGGGTAGGCCCTCATCCTCGGATCTTTCGGCTGGTCGGGAGCAGAGTCCCTTTTTGCATTGCCCCAGTACTCGTCGATGCCTGAGAGCCAATGGCATGTGATCAGGACTTAGTATCAGAGTTAAGCAAACACCTCCTCGGTCGGTCTGAAACGGTCAGGAAACTGGTGAACTCTGCAGTGTGGAGCTTGATTCGAGAGCCTTCTGCTGCGCAAAGCGACACCTATGCTCTCAAATCATTTATCTTATTTCAGCATCGGGGCTAGCGAAGCTTCCCCGGTGCTGCACATGCTCGAGCTATTCTGAAGGAACGGCATAGGGCATGCGGCATAAGGCGACAAGTGGAAGTTTGAAAAGAGGCCCCGTTGCACAGGATTTCTGCGGTGCAAAGGGCAACAACAAACCTGCAATGTCCGTTCCTTTTTTTTGCGATGCAGTGCCAGTGACACAGGACGCCAAGAAGGCCGCAGAGGCTGAGACCGGCGCGGCCGACGCTTAGAGGCGGCCTGGCATTCATCGAGAGTCGGCTCTTCAAACATGCCAGGCGATAGTCACCGCAGTCTCTCTCGCTCTCCCTCTTTCTCTTTCTCTCTCTCTCTCTCTCTCTTTCCTGCTTCTTTCTTATGGTGCAGGACTGAGGTGATGCAGAGCCGCTCACCGCGACTCCCCCCAGAGTCTGATAATGTTTCGGTACCCAGCCTGACGCGCAATTAAGTCGCGAATGTCGGAATCAAGACGGCCTTACAGTTCTGCAAAGACAAAGCCGTGAATCAGTCAACTGTCCCTGCTAGTCAGCCAGTCTCGTGATTAATGGCCAGGCTGCAGCAAATCCTGCATTTCTTTCACCCTTAGGCTCGTCAGGTTTCACAGCTTGTACAGTCCGTTGAGAGCTGCCTTCATGTCAGAAGATGTGGGACGATACGCACACCAAGACGGGTAAAGTTGGCTGGGCGAGTGTAGGCAGTGTAGGGTAGTCGGAAGGTGGCTGGTAGGTTTCTGAAGCTATGTTGCAACTTGGCACATAGCGCCTCCGCAAACACGGCGGGTAAAGACCAGAGACTCGGCATTTCCACTGTCTGGAGGTTTGTGCCCCAACCTTCTATGGTTTCCGTTGCAGCTAGTATAGTGATATGCTGTAGGGATGGTGCCGACCCACGCCAGTGGAACATGTCTCAGGCGGGCAACAAACACAGCTTGGCCGGACTTGCTGGCATGTAGCTGCACGAGCAGCTGGAGTTAATTGTCCCAGTCTGTCAATGTGCTCATGCAGTCCAGGCTTTTCGTGCAAGGCTTCCTAGTGGTGCAACAGTGCAGTTCCATGCGTCCTGATCTGCCTCAAATCATTCCACACCCAGACATGCCAGACAAGCGCACCAGCACAAATATAGACACAGCAGTCAGACCTCAAGTTGATTGCAGCAGCCATCCATTTTGCGAGCATGCTCTCATCTGAATGGCATGTGCGATGTCAAAGACGAACGCCATGGCGTCTTGCCGGAAACATCCCTGCCAGGTTCATCGTTGCTGCAGGCTTTCGTGCAGCGTGTGTGGTGTTGTCAGGGCTGCCTCTTTCTCTAACCTTCGGCAAGAAACGCCAGCTCTACAGACCGAATCAACCTGAGCAGTCCGGTGACCAGGAGAATGCCTTTGGTGCAGGCGTCGCATCATGTACGGAGTGGCTTGGCACCACATCTGGGAGTAGCGTCACAGCATGGGCTGTGGCATCCATGGCACTTGCACCGGCCATTGCCAGACATGGCAGTGAACACTTTGTAAAATGTGTATCGAGGCCTGCCGGTAGCCGCCACCATGAATCGCGGGTAGACCGGGTAGACTTAAAGTCAAGGCAGCAGCCGCAGCCTAGGTTCCTGCACCTGGATGTGCCTTACGGCAGTTTCGACAGTCGCTAGAAGGCATCGTCGGCAACCGGCCTGCAAGCCAGGGCAGGTCTCCTCGGTTTGCAGTGGGATTGGGCTAGTCAGCGGCTGGTCTCAGCTTCATGAAATCGCTTCAAGCAGTTTTGGATTGCTCGCGTCATGCCGGGTGACCTGTGACTCGAGCATGGACAAGTTTCTTTCCGAGGTTTCCTAGCAACACGCCAGTGAGTCCGATTCCTCGGTGCCGCAGTCTGGCAACTGCGAGAATCAATGTCGATGTGGCAGCTCGCCAATGGCAACATTTGAGACACTAGCGTGCTGCAGGGTCTTCACAAGTCCTCGGTTTACCTGGCCCCTTGCAGGCTGTGCCTGCATCTAAGGTATCGGAAAACCCAGTGATTTGGGTAGTCGATGGCTTGTGTGACGGAACAAAGGCTCGTCAGCTTCAGCATTTGTTGGAAGAACAAGACATGGACCTACTGAGGAAGACGGAGTCTTGGCTTAGTCTCAGCCGGTCCTGGTAGGGTTCGCAACAGCAGCTTGACATCGACATGCATCGACCAGTCACTGAAATATGATGAAGTCCGAAGCAATCATGTGCTGCAGACTTGTTGGCACGAGCTTCCGACTCCTCCCTGCACAAAGATTGCTTGTCATGTACGCCTATGCCAGCAACGTTGAGTACGCCACCCCGATGACCATTGCCAGCGTAGGCGGCACCTACTCTTTGGCACCAGCACGCGCTGGAGCCAGAGTTCAACCTGACGGTTGCAACTATAACCCTGGAGAGACCCTGAAGATGAGCGCACAGCTGCAGCAACCTCCGAACAGGAGTGGCCCGGCTGTGCCTTTGCCTCCGGGTCTCGAAGGCTCCAAGAATCTGCAACCTATGGTGATCGAGCCGTTTGAGCGTGAGGCGGACAGCCGTTCAGAGCCAGACGCGCTCCATAGCAGTGCTGCCAGCACTGCGGACACAGATGCAGGAGAAGGTCGTGCCGCAGTCGGCGCAGTGCCAGTCCCCGTAGTCGGGCTCGGAGAGCGTGCCATCAATCCTGCAGAGCTGCCAACGCGTGGCTCTGCGGGCCATTTCCTTGGTAACTGCAAGCCCTGCGCCTTCGTGTACAAGGGTGGTTGCGACAGCGGCTACGATTGTCAGTTTTGCCATCTTTGCCTCCCAGGTGAGAAGATCCGGCGTAAGAAGGAGCTGAAGCAGCGCCGCAAAGCTCAGAAGCAGTCATAAGCACTTCTGGCAGTTCTAGCACAAAGCAGAGTCAGCCTAATTCGCAAGGCCTGTACAGCACAGCTCATGCTTTCTTTTAAGTTAAGTCCGAGAGACCTGGGCAGACAGCTTTGCGCAGTCGGCATCACCAAAAATGCTTGGACGAAGTGGAAGCCTGGAGGGAACTTCTTCTTCAAACGCTGTTTCCACACCAGTGATGCAGCACCGAACCTTCCCAAGCCGAGGACGCCTACGTGGACGATATGTTTGACCAACGGAGGACCGCAAGGCCAAGCACGGCCATCATCCGGCGTCTGTGGTCCGAATTCTTGCAGCATCCGTTGCAGGGAGGACGCCCAGCTCTTGGTTTACATGATGCATGCTGGTGCGCTCCAGTTTGTCCCGCGCCAGCCTTTCGAATTGCAGCCAGCATTCCGACTCGCATCTTTGCCGTCACTGCCTGTAATGTATCAATGTGCTACCCGGGTGCTCTACTGTTTGGCGTGCGCTCTTCACTACTTACTGTCACTACACTCACCACTCCGTTCTGCACGGCCCAGGTATCGCTCGGACCCACTGCGTTCCTTCCTGTGGCTGGCCGTGCAGAGAAAGGAGCTCCTCCCGGAGGGTGCCTGGGCTTCGAGGCCGCACTGGTGCCGACTCGAATTGAAGAAGCAGCCTAGCACGACGTAGCCATACTTAGCCCTGGGCTCACGTCCGAAGTTGCTACTCGTAGAGATGCCGACAGACATCATGATCGCTCGGCCTGCACTGAGGACATTGCTCTTGCTTCTGTCGCTCGTCAAGCTTGGTGCACGCAGTGGGACCCGGTGTCACGGTAGCAAACAGCCAAACCGACTGTGCAGGTGTAACCGGCTAGATGGTCTCTCCGACCTCCCGCCGCTATGACCACTTAACACTCCCCGGATGACGCTGGATCCTGCCCTGTCTCAACCATCACATCAAAACGCTCAAGACTGACCGCGAAACCTTTATCCCAGGAGGACCTGCGGCGGAGTGGCTTCGCGAAGTCCGCGGCACGGTGGCGGGTTCCCGAGGAGCGAGTTCTTGGGCAGGTTGGGGAGCTTTGGCTGGTTATGCATAGGCTAGGGTATGAAGGCCATGCTCGCGGAGTTGTCGCCGCTTGTCGTGGATGTGCTCGGCGCCTCGACATGCACGAAGCAGCTCCTTTCGGACAGCTTGGGTGGTGCATTGACATGCGTTATATCTCCGCAAGGTGGGCTTGCCTTGTCGTCTGTTGATTAGACGCACCGTCCTGTTGTTCTTTCTGAGAATGCAGGTGCTCCAGTGGAGGGACTTCCCTTGGCGGAGTCACGACCTTTCCACGCCAGTGACAAGTTGCCGAAGTGGAGACCAAGTCTGCAACCAGATCGCGTGGAGTTCCATTCCGTCAGATTCCATCCATCGGACGGCAATGCTGTAGCAGTCGCCTGGAAACTGTGACGCCGAGGATTCTGCGGGACACCACAGCAGCTTGATGCACTAGCTTTCACCAGCTGGCGCGAGAGACGTTTCCGTCAACACCCCATGTGTCATGGTCAGAGCGTGAAACTTGAATGCATGCTACTGTAACCACAATAAAGACAAAACAGAGCCAACATCACGAAGCGTCGGCAAGGACTGCTCACGGGATGTACAACTTGTACCACTGTGCATCCTACACATAACAGCCTTCTTTGGCATTCACAGTTTCAGAGCGAAAGAAGATTGCAAGCATCGGTCCAGGATGAAAGTCGAGTGGCAGGGGCTTGCCAAAGAACGTTTCGACCAAGCAGGTTGTGCGCTACCAGCAAGATGAGTCACAAGTACCTCACATTGACACGAGTGCCTCGTTTGCAAGCGCCGGATTTCTGTTAAGATACCGTATGCTGTACGATTGGACGATCTGTTGGAAGACAATTCTTGCGTAAGGCGACGTGACGATGCTGGTTTATCTGAGCAGTTCCGGTGGAAACACCTGCTTCCCAAATCTGCAACGCAGTATCTCGGCACTTGGGGCGTTCTCAGTGAATGTGGGCCGTTTCGCCCCGCAATGTGCTTCTGAGGCATCATGCCACGCGCAGGCCGTGTTCTGGTTTTCTGCAGCACCACACCTGGCGCCACCTGTTTGCAGGCGGTGAAGATCACGATTACCCGAGATCACATGTGTCGTGTGTAGATATAAGGCTTCGCGATTCGGCGGCTTTGCTGGCTCAGCCTACGGGGTGCCTAACGATGACACCATGTTCCTTAGCTCAGATGAGCGGCAGACTGCCTCATGTTGCCGGAGAGCCTGCATCTACTTGTTTTGTTACTGAGCCGGTTGCTGAGGCACTTTGGTGGACTCTCTCCTGCTTCGAAAGGGGAGTTGCTCGGTTGTGTTGCGATTTGTGGGTACTGAGTGCTTCGCTTTGTCTTGTGCTTGGGCTCCGACCCAGCTTTGTTAACAGACTTGAGGAAACTCATTGTGCAGCTTCTGTTCGCACCACGGCTTCAGTATAGAAATCTCGGAGGCGGTCGCAAAGAAGCGGGCGGATGTTTCGGCTGCGTGTTACGCAAGCAAACTTGAAGCGCTGCATATGGAAGTATACTCTACAGCTGGTGGCCGCTAGCGGCTAGTGGTGGAGCTCATTGACGTTGTCCAGATTACAAAATAGAAAAGGCCACAGAGCCTGAGCATTGCCAAGCTGAAAGGCAGCGGTTTTCCATGTCCGGCAAAGGCACCACTTCAGCTCTTCAGCTTCCCAGGCTGCCCTGGACCCATCTTTGAATATCGGCTCCTGGGACGAGGCCTTGCGTGGCCCAGCTTTGAGGCGCTGATGGATTCTCACTCTAGATCTCTCTGCATCATGGGGATGGTGAGCTCGGCTTTTTTGGGTTTAGGGTTCGTTGTCGGATATTGTCGGACAAGCCCTAGGGCCTAAGTTTTGGAGTGGCTTGGGTTGAGGATTGTCATACATCTGCAGCTCAGACTCCTGCCAGGCAGGCCAGCTACAGCTCAGGGGTGGAGGCCCTGGTGATCCCCAGTGCAACGGCCTTGCCCAGAGAGTGTACCTTAGCCGCTGAGAAGGGCCGATTGAGGCAAGCCTTGCTTGTTCGACCGACTGACGACTGCATGTTGTGCTTCGATTCTCAATGATTCACATTTTTTAACATGCGACCTACACTCGCAGTCAATGGCCGAGCTGTGAAAGCCCTGCCTGCTTTGGTCTATGCATTTGCCGCAGAAGACTATCCGAGAAGGCGCAGCCCCTGCCTGCAGTGCCCTCTGCATCTCGACTGCCGCGCCTGGCGACCTCCCCGCAACGCTGTGCCACCGGCTGCAAGGCCGAGCTCTGGAGGGTCAGGAAGGGAAAAAACTCTTCTGAAGCGAGCGAAATCCGACCCGAGGGCCTGGCTTTGGATTTGGAAGCAGCGCCAGATGAAGCCAAAGTTTGCATTCACTGCTGGCAGCCACTTGGCTTGCGATGCATTTTTCTGGCCATGAGCCGACTTGATTCTTCTCCGAAGCAGAGAGTGAAGCAGAGCGCGTTGCTGCATCGAGGCGTCGACTAGAAGCGCTGAGAGGAAGCTGATGTGGCAAAAAAAGCGCCGCGAGGGAGAGTGCAACACTGGCAGCTTGTCCACAATTTGTCGGTCCTCCAATCCCCGTGCCCACGCAGGTCACAAAGAGTAGACGAGGGGAGCTGCGGCAACACTTCGTGGGAGCTGGTCACCCGACGGTGGCTGACGGGAAGTACTCTGCCTCCCGGATAAACAACAGTCTGTATAGTTTTTGGTGCAGTGGCCAGCCCCCGGAAGCACGAGGGGCCAGCAAACTCTATGTTGAATCGACTCATCAGTTTGTTGTCGCAGCATGCCCCTGGCAGCTGCCCCTGTCCTTCTGCTGGCGCAAACAAGGAACGTGATGCGTACTTGCGGGACCGAGAGTGGCGACTTGACTCAAGAAGGGATTGCGACACATTGTGCAACATCTGAGAGAACAAACAAACTCCTGATTGCCCAAAAGCCGGGCCAAAACGCATGTCTTCTAATTATTAGGCATCGGTGCCTCTACATGCCCCGGGAAGGATTGCTGCATGGAGCGATGTGCATGGACTCCCAAACTCTTCTGAGGTGTGCCAGAAAGCCCGGGATCACAGCAGCGAGTGTATCTTTTCGCGTGGCTGAGCCGTGTCTGTGCCTGTCCGTGAGTCGCATGTCTGCGCGAAGATCACATTTTTGACCGTGTTATACCATGTTCGTCCTGCTGGACAGTCAGCTCGGAGCCCCGACCGACATCAGTACTTAATTTCGGATGGACAACACCGGTACTCGGTTTTTTTCGGGAATCATTTCACGGCAGCTGACCTCGTCGGCTGCAGTAGTGTGACCACCTGCTCCGGTACAAAACCATGTCAGATGCCTGTAACAGCCTGCAGACTCACTGGTTACACGACTGTAGCTGACTCGCCGCGCAGCGTTTAGCTTGTTCATGATTTGGTTGGCAATCGAAGGCAGCTCCCTGTCTTTGCCATGGCTGCAGTAGCCATGGCGAGATGCCGCTGCCCGCCTTTGCAGAGAAACCGGTGCAGGAGGACAGTACAGTAGGCTGAGCAGGCTCGCGTGCCGCCCCTTGGCTCAGTGGCTAAGTTGTCAGGCCGAGGGGCACGTTCTCAACGCCGTGCTCCCAGCTCCTTCCGTCGTCGCTGCCGGTTCGATGCTTGGCTCTATGTTTACGTCTTAGTTTAGTTTCATGAGGTTGCCTTGCAAGGTTCGGCTTCATCTGCGCACCGTGCGATTGGCAGTCCCCTTGCAGGTTTCGCGAGCGTCCGGAGTGCATGGACTTCGGACAGGCCCAGCTCGAGCAGCTCGAGGTCGAGGCTGGAGCCGTTTGGCGGATCCTTCGCTCGGATCCACAAGCCGCCATTTGCCGGAGGCCATTCACCGCTCGCAGCGCTTTCCAGACTCCACGGAGGAGCTCCTTCCTTTGCCACTGCCGACTCTTGGCCTTTACCCATCCCGAGACCGATCCTCGTGGGAGCCCAAATGATGTTTCTGGTGAAGCTGTCTCAGGTCGGTCAGTGGCTTAAACTGCCCACTCTGCCATAAGACTTTCGAGGACGGCTTGTCTTAAACGGACCTGCGGCGGTGAAACCGGTTTCTGTGACCTAGACTCCCGGACGTCCTGTCGAGGATCCCGTCATGACGGTCGATGGTCCCAGGCTTAGACTTGGACTGTGCGCCACCATCGTGTGCGGCATTCCAACATGTCTCGAGGTCATACATTCTGCCGCCGATGCATTCAGGACCGCATGCGCTTTGTGCCAGTTTACCCAGCTGCTGCACTTGGCTTGTCGGAAAACGTGTCTCTGCAGCACTGCAGCTAGGACTTTTTTATGCAACATGCTTCAAAGTCTGGGGCGGCTCCTCTGCCAAACTCGCCCGTGAGTGGCCAGCCGTTACTTTCCAAGCTGCTGATGCCCAACCTTGCTGTTGGCAACGTGCCGGCAGTTCCGACATGAAGCAGCCGCAGCCATTAAATCTGAGAGGAGCAGTGGGCTGGTTCTTTCCATGTGCCACCAACTGGCTAAGGCAAAGTGCTGACATCCATCCGTGAGAATGTGAGGCCCTTCGTCGGCAATCATCGTTAATCACTAACATCCGGCACTCCAATTTCTCTCCTAGCTTCTGGGCTTGATGGGTGCCACCACCCGGAGAGTAGGTCCATGTAGCAGCATCCGATGCAATTTCGCAGCCAGCCATGTTTTGCAAGATGTGGCAAGTTCTTTCAAGATGTGGCAAGTTCTTTCAGCTTCGGTCAAGCCATGCCCGTAAGGCCGGCCTGGATACAGGTGGAGCAGGCGGTCTGCTCAAGTAGGACATGGTACTCGTAGAACGGGATGACGAGTCTGAGAAGATGCGATCCCTGAGCATCTCAGCTCTGCTAGGAACGGGAAGCTTTGCGTTTCGAACTGCAGCAGCGAAGCGCGGAGCTGCTACAGGCACCCGCAAGATCCCGCGAGTCTCTGTGAGCCCGCTACTGTCTCACAGTCTTCACCTTACCAAATCGTGAGGTGAAGACGAGCACAGAGGGTCAATCGAAGGAGCTCCAGTTGCATGCAGATGAGATGAACTCTTGTGTGCGAGAGTGGGGAGATTGCAGAATTGTAATCGTTGGCTTGTTGATCCACCCCCAAGCGCGTGTGCGAATGCTGAATCTCAGAAGCGCGATGCATCTAATCTCTGCCGTGGCAAAAGCCGAGGAACTAAACGATGCGATGCTTGGCCAAAGAACATTCAGTTGTATGCAGCTCTCAAGAGAGTGTTGATGCTTGATGAACACATGGAACATCAAAGTGCCAAGGGAGCTGAAGGCGGCCACCTTGACAGCCAAACTGCAGATGACGGAGGAGAGCCATAAAGCAAGAACTCGACAAGCAGTTGAACAGGCCCCTTCGGCTCGTCTTGAAGTCCATTCGACAGATCATGCCATGATTCCGGGATTGGGCGTTCGAAGGCCGACTGAAGTGGTTGCTTGCCACATGTCCTGCCAAAGTCTAGAGTGGCGTTCAAGCGCATCGTGTTTTGGTGAAGGAGGAAGCACGCGCCGCACGAGGAGCCTTGCGTCGGAGCACTGGCAGTTGTTCATTATGCTCATTACACTACACAACTATTAATCACTTGCCCTGGGCAAGTCCTGCACAACCTCATGCATCGAGAAAGTGGAGGAAGTAGCGCTTAAAGCTCCAGGTATGCTCCTTGCAGGCTTCGAGAGGTGTATGTTCTCGGCACCCCTGAATTCCTGCGTCGCGAATCGCGAGCCGGTGAGCTGTTTCCAACAACTGGGGTTGAGCATGGAGACTGTCCGAGGCTTGACTGTATACAGAAAGTCTGATCGAAGAAAGAGAATTGTAGTCTGAGACTAGAGTACCTGCTGTGCACTCGCTCGCAGGCGAGAGTGTCGCCCAAGCACACATAACTAGGAAGCACCTGCAAAAGCATGCTGATGAAGCTTGAAGTCAGACAGGGCTCTCAAATTGAAACAATTCTGGATTCCGGCGGCGTTTGAGGCAGCAGCAGCCGCTGCCTTGCATTTACAATTTAGCCTCTTAATGTTTCTCCTCGATGCCATGGTGGCTCCTTGCAGCTGGTCTGCTGTGCTTTTCCGGCCTTTTGGCCGAGGCCATTTCCGTGCACTGCGAAGGCAGGCGTTTTCGGAAGCTTCTCGGGAACTCACGCAACTGAATGCTGGCTGACTGCGAGAGAGACAGAAAGAGACAGGGTCAGCCAATGCCCACCTTCTGGAGCACATACCCTGAAAAGTCATCCCATGGATCACAACACCTTGACGACTCACCCGAGAATTGACCGCAAGACCGTCCTCATCATTGCTTTCGAGGGTGACGTGACGTCACACAGGCCTACATCGCGAAGGCTTTACTGCTTCGCAAATGTCCGGCGGAAGACTCCGTGTTCGCTGGGCGGGGGGATTACCTCACCCGTAGAGTTGAGCTATTGGGCAACCCTGACCCCCGCCTTCCTTTGAAAGTAGCTGGGACCACGCACAGGCCCCAACCACACACGCCCGATAGTTTCATCCGTTTACATCCATGGCATGTGCGTGCGAGAAAGGGGGGAAGGCTGCCAACGACAACGGTGCAGCGAGAAAGCAGTGAGGGTCAATTGCATGCATTCCCTGCGTTAAGGACTTCTTTCATGGCGGCTGTAAACCGAAACTTCGGCTCCCTTCTCGATGGAAACCTTTGGACAATATAGCCCATCCTGGCTATGAACCCATGATTCTGTTCAATGCACCGGCCATGAGTTTCTCCAGATCCTTGAATTCGGGGGCATGATATGTGTGCATATGTACAAATACATGAGAATATGTGTACATGTATATAGGTACATATATATATATATGTTTGTATATATGTATATATGTAAATATGTAAATATGTATAGATGTATACGTGCTTATATGTATAGATGTACGTATGCCTCTGCATTTGTTTTTGTATATGTTTGTGTGTAGATGTATATACATATATATATATACATACATGTGTTCTGTATACATGTATACATGTAGATATGCATGTATGTATTTATGTACATGTTCTGTTTAAAATGTGCAGATGCATATATATATATATATAGAAATA